ATTGTGCATGCGAGAATTAAATATGAGACATAGGACATGTACAGAGATAAGTTGAAACTAAGTCTAAATAATAAGGCAGGATAAGATTTTTCCGGAAAAATAGTAATTGTAGCTTAAGCAAGAAAGTAACTTCAACTACCGAAAATAGCCTAAGTAGCTTGCTTTAATAGCTAGCTACTTTTCACAGTAGCTTATGAATACATGAAACACATTACCATATAAGCTACAGCTACAAGCTTCTTTTTTCAAAAAATAGCTTGAATAAGTTATTAGCTACCAAAAAAGTAGCTAAGTTAGTAGCTTAACTACTTGGTAGCTAACTACTGCCCAGCTCTGCTATTTAATGATAATTCCTATCAAAATGGTTAATTGTTTTGTGTGTAACGTGGTTACAGGACGATACTTGCGTAGATTGATTGGTTCGAATTTTTCAACAAGATGAAAATCTGAATCGAAAGAGAACCTAATTAACTCTCTTGCACAGATCAAAATTCCGATTGCCAGATCAAAATATTAATGAAGATACGAAAATATGCGCAAATTATGACCAGAGAATTAAAAAATATATTGAATTAGAAGGTAACGACACTGCTATTAGCATGGAAGTTTTAGTTCGGAAATGAACAGAAAAATGTTTTACGTACAAGTTTGAAAGATATCAAACTTGAAAGCAAAATACGTGTTGTGTACAGTTGTGTACCCTCTATATGAAATAGATTTGATACTACAACTTTTAAAAGTCAAAAAAGAATCAATTCTCAACTGTCTATTTCCTATTTAAAATAGGCACTTTGACATCAACTCGGTATATAACCAAAAGTCTGACCATTTTGATTAATTTTGAAAATATTTTAGCCGAATTGCACCCATCGACTTTAGTAAATTGTCTTTTTAAAATCCAAAGTCTATTTTCCGAGGCGCCAGTTCGTTGAGGGACACCCTGTACTTCACTTCAAAAAAGTAGCAAGATTTGGAAATAATGAAATATTTTTTTCATTTTTCTTTCCATGTTTGTTTACCTATATGTGTAGTAGGTTTTTTCCGAGGTTTTTCGGTATGTATCATTAGCTTTTTCATATTTCTCTGGTATCCATAACATTTTTTAGGATATTATATTGACATACACAATTTTATTACAACCCATATTGTCATACTTTCTCATATCTGCTAATAAAATAAATAAAAATGCTTTTCTGGTTTAGAATTTCGTGGAATTTTGAGGGGAGGGTGGAGCTCCCTGCTCCCCACCTCTTTCTACGCCACTGTCAAAAATTATTTGTTCGGATAAGATTAGATAAACATAATATAGATACATATTATACACATATTTTACGTAGATAACATAATATATGGTGCTCGTAAAATGTGATTTTTCGAAATACTTATTGAAAACACCTCGTAGCTAATGGAAATATAAAGTTAATAATATGTGAAAATGTTATGATACTTGTTTGAAGTTGAGTTGATTATTGTCTAGATATAACATTGACTTATTTAGAATAATAATTCATTAAAATCAGCATTTCTTTATGTCCGTTTTTATTACTTTGGCCTTACTTTTTGGGCAGTTCTGGTAGACCTAGAACTTTGGCGCAATGTCTTATTTTCGTGTCGACTACAAAATATTTGAATTTCGGGAAAATCAGCAGAGGGCCAAATTACACTTAAATAGTGCCATGTCCTTTGTTCTCTTAACTTTTTTCCGAAAGATGCTCCGTTTTCAAATAAAAAAATAAAAATTATGATAAAAATGTTAAAACATTTTAAACACCTAAAGTTTCAAATATTTTTTTAAAAATATTTCACATCAAAAGATCTTTTTTACTGCTTGAAAGCAGTGTACAAAATTTCAATGATATATCTGAAATAGTTTTTTTTTTCTTAGAATTTCAACACCCTGTAGGTATCTCGGAGGAAGCGTTTCTGGACATATGTCTGTATAGGAAACTAGGGGCTGTAGAATATGCCATAAAAATTTGGTGCAATAATTTCGGAACACCCTGTATAGAAAAAGAAAAAGTAATTTAGACCGTAAAAATGTTTTAATTGTAAGTTTCGGGAGTGCGCTCTGTAAAGTCAAAACTCAATTACTGGATATTTCGTCAATTTATTTTGACTTTGATTGAGAATGGAGTATATATACAGGGGTGTCATTATGTATGGAAACGAGCTAATATTTCAGAACGCGCTTAAGAAAAATGTACAATATTTCCTACCCGGGGTTTTTTGGGAATGCCCGATTCAATGGTGGTCTTTGCAATGTTGCCAATATCGCCCCCAGGTAGGAAATCGAATTTTCCTTCAGCGCGCTATGAAATATTAGCCATACATAACGACAACCCTGTATATATTATAGTGGGTACAAACTCCAGACGAGACTTCGATTTCCCAATTTGAAAGACCTTCGCAATGCAAACACGGGCACACGATTTCCGAGATTGCATGGCCATTTCCTAGGGTTTTGAAAGACTTAGCGTGAATTCGGCTAGATTTGTGACAGTGCATATTTCGCAAAGTGATTCACCCCTTGATATAAAACTAAAAATCGTCAATCAATCACACCAAGTATCTCGGATATTTTAAAAAATAATAAAAACTTATCATTAATGTAGCCTATATTTTTGAATTTGCCGCCACTTTTCTCCTTTTTGGCAAGTTTGACAGCGATCAATAATATGACTTGTGGACGTCCTTTCCGGTTTTTGATTAAAATATATACCGCCCAACCCTCCAAATTAAGCTCCCTACATTAATATCACGAACTCTAAATCATAGGAGTAAAAAACAAAATGGAATGAACAAAACCAAAACCCAAATTCAAAAGCAAAAATCATAAAATTAAAGACAGTAATAATTGAAACAAGCATGTAGAGGCGAGATCATGCAAAAACATTTTTCACTTACCTTATTTTCGATGATTTTTTCTTGTAATTTTGGGGTGCTTTTTTCTTGGGCACTGCGAGCAAATTGTTCAGTCCACCATAAAATCACTGTTCGCGAAAACCGGACCGAAAAACACAAAAGGTAAGTACCGGCGAAAAATAGAGCATACCGACCCTCGCGTCTTACCGATTTGTAGTAATGGAGGTGCGCGAAACGCTTGCACGCCATTCCCACTCAACGCCCATGCATGGATGGTTGCATAATACGTATCTCTATTAAGGCCCCCTCCACACGTACCGGAATATAATGCATCTAGAATTTCGGTACTGCAGCGTTCGAATTTAAAATATAATGGTTTCTCTGTAAAATTCTCCTCCGACTGTACACGTTGATTTTTGCACCAGACTTTAATGTAAGTACTTGCAGAAACTAAGCGCGCGAGACCCGTAGCGTAAGCAGTAACGGGCTTGTACGAATGTCGGGCGGCAGTTGAATGGCAACGTAGCAAGAAGGCAACGTAACTTGCATCAAGGCTCTTTGACAGAGGGAGGTTACCTGGGACGCTTTCTTTTATTCAGCGATGGATCCATCGATGACAAGTCTATCTTTGTCTAGTTCATAGAAAATCGGTCTCATAATGCTGGCAGCAGATGGATCCATTGCTGAACAAAACAAAGCGCCCCTGTTGTAGCCGATTTCGGGTGCTACAGTTTGAGCACTCTAGAGTTACTCCGAAGTAATTCATCCGCGCTTTGGCCTGTTCGTCTCCGTAAATTTTCGCGCTCCGGAGCTGTTCTTATTTTCCTCGTCTTCGTCCCTTTAAGCACGTACCTTTTTCATGGTCGCATTGTCACAGTCAATTGAGAAAAGTAGGCGTTCGGGTGTAAAGGGAACAATGCGCCTCAGGAGTGGAGCGCTCTAGGAGCTTGACGCCCTACACTCGAAAGCGGTTCTGGGATAACTTTTGTGACGTCACAAAATCACACAGCTACCGTTCGAAAAGACGGAGTGTGGATAAATCACACGGTTTTCGACTTTCGGAAAAGTGGTTGTCACGTACTGGTGCGCCAGATACTCTTTGAATGAAATTTAAGCTGACATATATGTCATTACATTCTGTTTATTATTAGGCCATTGTATTTATTTAATAAAATAATATAGATAAAATATTTATTTCAATTGAATTTATATTTTATTTTCATTTATATTGTAAAATTGTATGATTTAAATAATAGGAAAATAAAATTTATTATTAGGCCATTGTATCAATTAGGTGATCTGATTACTGTGATTTGCTTATAATGGCTTATATAAATAAATATGATATATGGTCAATATGGAAGAACAAGTTCCTTTAGTAAAAGGTCGACACATACTACGTTTTCATGGAGTTTTGAAATCGTTTTGAATACGGTTTTGGTATTGAAAACGCCATGAAAACAGGTACTGAAATCGATTTCAGTCTCAAGGTCGTTTCACCTTTTTTTGGGATTTAAATTCAGAAACATGCAATTCGATTTCAATTCTAATTTTGCCTCTGCATGAAAACGGGAAAGAGGATTGGATTCAAAACGATTTGAAAACTCCATGAAAACGTAGTAATTATTGTGGAAAACGAACAAGATGCAGAAGGCAATTGGCTAATTTTAGACAAACTTAGTTACTTGGTAAATAAACCACTGGGTCACCGTTCGAATACCTTAGAGCAAGATTCGCACACCGAAGTGTGTCGGAAAATAATTTTCACATCAACAACCAGGTTCTCGAACGCAACCCAAGAAGCCTTTTTTCTTGACAAGCCGTTTTTTCTAACAGAATTTTCAACACTGTCAACTTGTTTGTTGGGGAAACTGGTAGGCGTTGACTGGTTTACCACGAATTACCTTATTGCTTTTTTTTTTGTTTGAAGTGAAAATCTTGAATCTTGGATTTATTATTAAGGTTGTGAGATTGTGCCATGGAGACCTAGTTTTTGAGCTGATTTTCGTACAAATGGAGTTTGATAAAATATACTTTTGAACGATCATGATTTCTCCAAGCATAACCTCTATACTTTAAATTTATTTCAAACTTGCTTTATACCCGATCGATTAATTTTATTGATATTTTTCCCTTAGGAGGATCAAATATTAAGAAAATTCGAGAAGAAACGAACACGAGAATAGACCTGCCGGCCGAAGGTGACAAAAGCGATTGCATCACCATCACTGGCAAACGTGAAAACGTAGAAGAGGCCCGCGACAAAATTAGAAGCATTCAGGACGACCTTGAAAGTATCACCAGTGAAGAAATCACGATTGATCCAAAATTCTACAATTCGCTTATTGGTGCTAAAGGAAAACTCATCCATTCAATCATGGAAGATTGTGGTGGAGTTACTATCAAATTCCCGAGCTCCGACAGTAAGAGCGACAAAGTTCTTGTTCGTGGACCAAAAGAAGATGTTGAAAAGGCTAAACAGCAATTGCTAGACTTAGCGAATGAAAGACAGCTTGCCAGTTTCACTGATGAGGTAAGACAAATGAGAGTTTTGTGTGACAGTTTTATGCTTAAAAAAAAATTGTCTTTTAGGTACGTGCCAAATCTCAACACCATAAGTTCCTAATTGGTAAAAGTGGTGCCAACATTAAAAAGATTCGTGATGCAACTGGTGCTAGAATAGTCTTCCCTTCAAACACTGAAGAAGACAGAGAAATTATTACAATCATTGGTAAGAAGGAATCTGTTTTGGAAGCTAAGAAGCAATTGGAGGCAATGATTAAAGATATTGTAAGTATAAGTATATTGCAATGTTTGTCCTTCTGGATTTTAAGCTCATTTAACCTTATTTTCTCTATCAGGATTTTGTTTTAAACTTTAACTCGTACAAAAATCAAAATTTGATTTAAAATATCCAAAATCAAACAACTATGGTCATAGTACTGCCTAAGATTAGAATATTTTTAGTAGTGGGTTTCACATGCATCTCACATCACAATCTAGGACTCTTTTTAATTACTGTACATCAGATCTTCAGCTTAGTGCAACTGTCTAAATGTTTCTTAATTTTCAGGATAATATCATCGAGGATGAAATCAAAGTCGAGCCAAGACACCATAAGCACTTTGTAGCAAGAAGAGGCGAGGTCCTCCACAGAATAAGTGACGATTGTGGTGGTGTCATGATTTCCTTCCCAAGATCCGGAGTAGACAGTGACAGAGTAAGCCTTAAAGGCTCCAAAGAATGTATTGCTGCAGCCAAACAAAGAATTCTCGAAATTATCGGCGATTTGGAGTCTATGGTCACCATTGAATGCATTATTTCCCAGAAACATCACAGAACCGTCATGGGCGCTAAAGGATATAGGGTTCAAGGAATCACGTCACAATATGACGTTCAAATTAAATTCCCCGACAAGGAGAACACTGAAGAATATCCGTCAGAATTGACTAATGGAGATGTGAACACTGAACCTGTGCGTCAATGTGATGTCATTAAAATCACAGGAAAAGAATCAAATTGTCTTCAGGCCAAGCAAGCCCTATTCGACTTGGTCCCTGTAACCATTGAAGTTGACGTGCCTTTTGTATTGCATAGGTCAATTATTGGCGCTAGAGGACAGGGAGTTAGGGAGCTCATGGACACATTTGACGTCCACATTGTTTTGTCTTCAACTGATGTACAAGAAGATATTATTAAGATTACCGGTACTTATAATAACGTTCAAGATGCTAAAGAAGCTCTGCTCGAAAGAGTCAAACAATTAGAAATTGAAAAGCAGGATAAACAATTGAAGTCATTTGCTCTTACTATTGACGTTAATCCAGACTATCATCCTAAGATTATTGGAAAACGTGGCGCTGTTATTACAAATATCAGGAAGAATCATGATGTGCAAATTACATTCCCCAAAAAGGGTGAGTCATTTAGAATGATTGGAGATTTTTATTGATTGATTATTGGGCTTCCTAGTTATTTACTGGTCAATTTTTTTTTTCAGGTGATGAAAATGAGCATGAGATAATCATCACTGGTTATGAAGCTAACACCTACCAAGCGAAAGAAGATATTCTCAAGATTGTCAAGGAGCTAGACGATCTCGTTAAAGAAGAAGTAGAAATCGACTCTCGTGTCCATTCTCGTCTGATTGGGGGTCGTGGTCGCAACATTAAGAAGGTCATGGACGACTACAGGGTTGACATCAAATTCCCAAGACCTGAAGATGCTAATCCCAACTTGGTCATCATTGCTGGTCAAGAAGAAAATATAGCGGAAGCTCGTGAACATTTGCTCAATCTTGCCGAAGAATATGTAAGTTTTTTTTTTTGAATTTACGTTTTTGTTGACCCCATATTATTATTCGTTTGTGGTGCAGTATTTTTCAATCACATGAGAGCAAAGAAGGCTCAGCTTGTTTTTCGCACATGAGGTTCAATTATTGGCATTTCCAACATGGTTTATAGTCTATTGTGTTCTTCTTGCTTTTACTGATGTATACTAGAGTTACTTGAGATGATTTGAGGACTACTACCGATTTTGCATTAGGCTAGAAACTCAGCCTACTTTCTACAAATATAACATATAATATAACATAACTATATATCATATAAGTTTGATTATGGGTTCCTGGTAGAGAGGGGATTTATGAAGAGTAAAGTCAGTTAAATCTAAACACTTCCTTGCCTGAGCGATTCCAATGAATTTTCTGACAAAAATAGAACGACAGTGTTGGCAAGAACCTGGATTTTCGATAATTCCTATTGTGCTTTTGTGTTTACTTAACTAGACAAAATTGTTCATTTGTTTCAACAATTTTGCACCTGAGAAGCTTCAAAATTGGATTTATCAAATATTGAAAATTTTCCAAAAATGACAATAAGAGAGGAAGCTGCGAGACAAACGCAGCTTCTTCAATTTTCCTCAGATTTCAACGTTATTAGGCTCAAATTAAAGCCAATTAAATTCTCTACAAACCAGTGTAGGTAAAGAATGAATTTGTTTTACAGCTTCAAGACGTGGAAGAAATGGAAACGCGCGATAACCTCCATACGTTGAATTTCCATTTCGACAAGAGACAGCCACAACAAAACGCTCAGAGGAACCGCGACTCTAACAATCCTAACGGATTCGTGGTCAAGGGAGCGCCATGGGAACAGAGCGCCCCTAATACAGCTAGCGTTACCGATTTTCCCGCTTTTGGCAGGACTGTCGAACAGCCACAGGCCTCGCCCATGGCTGGAGCTTGGGGCGGCAGACGCTAACTTAAGTGCCCTTGCTGATTTTCACCTTTTACCTATAATTCATATATTTTTTTAGTAGACTTTCTTGAGTTGGTTTATGGATAAAAACAAGTATTTTAGGTTTTTAACTATTGCAAAGGTTAAGATTTAATAATTTCCCAAATTTGTTGCCTTAGTTCAAGTTTATGTTGAAAGTTAATAATTATTAGTTGAGTACAAATAAAAAAACTAAAAGGTGGAACCTCAACAACAACCTTAATGATTAAAAAGTCATTAAGCAACCCTCTTCCCTCACTGTTTGCTGCATTAAAATAGGCCTGGCAAAGACACTGGACCTCGATTCTATGGAAAACTGAATAAAACCCACAAATACGCAAAGCTCTTTTTTACACATAAGTCTTCCCGAAAACTTAGGGCGGACATTTGGCCTAAAATCGGCACTACTCGTAGAGAAGTTATGATTAACATTACTATACTATGATATTTTTAGTTTAGTTCGTAAAGTGTTCACTTCCACCTGGTAACTGCGTTTTTAATTTTAATTTGTAAATTATTTGATTAAGATTAAATATTTTTACATAGCGCATTATTATAATTTGTCATAACTGAAAATATATATTTTTTTAGTTTTTTTTTTTTTTCGTGTCATAACGTCTCTGCTCTAGAAAAAAAAAGGCAGTGCATCGTGCCTTTCTATTTTTTTATTCCTAATTTTGTTATTGTCTTCAACTTTTATATTTTATTTAAATACCGTGGTGTGTGAAATAATTTCAAATTTTAAACTTTTTATATAGGTATACGTTCCGTAATTTCTTATTAAATTGTTTTAAATAATTTTAATATGAATAATTATTGTTGTTATAAAATTGTAAGTTTTCGCTTTTGTTTTGTATACAATAATTTCGAAGGAACGATTTAATTTATTATATTATAAAAATAAGCCTTGCGGTCAACTTGTTAGCCCAAGACTAACCTGGGGGGAGAATAAAATAAAATTATAATAAAAATTGTAATAACTGTATTTTATTTATTTTGCTGGCTTTTTTATAGGATCAGAGATTTGATAAAACCCAATTTTGACTTGCCTATGGCAATATTGGAAAACACTGCAAGTCAGTTTATCCATTTTGAACTTGAAGAATAATGTTAAAAATGTACTTTAATTGAAAATGGAGTTTGAAAGACTTGCTCATCGAGAATAACCATAACTATGCTAAAAACTAGATAAAAAAAATCATCTTTCAATTAGGAGTCATAATTATTAGTGCTTTTCAATAAATAAATAAATTTAAATTATTGCAATAGTAGGCACAAACGATAATATTATTATTAAAACATAGACAAAAAGCTTTTGCAGTCTGCAGTAAAACAAGGCTACCATAAGCACGTTCAAGGCTATTCGTTGCGGATGACCTGTGTCCATGAGAAGTGACCATTCTTCAGCAGCGTCTGGTCCTTGTCGACGACGCCCACAAAGACTTTTTCAACAGCCTCTGGTCACTGCCGACGACGACGTTCACGAAGACGTCTTCAGCAGCCTCTGGTCACTGCCGACGACTCTCACGTTCTTCAGCGAATAATGGTCCCTCCTGATGGACCCAGGCCAAGGTTGTTCAAAAGAGGTAGGTTGCCTGATAACTTTTATGACGTCATCTGGTGTGCCCAAACATACAGTGAGTCTATTAAACCACAGTGACGACAATTGCCGTCTTATTTTTGATTGGTTCTTAAAAATGCTATATATTCATATGGAAAACGCCGCCATTTTGTGCCCTACCTCTTGCTAATTTTAAATATGAATATAAAGGATTTAAATGGACATTCATCATAAAAAATAGAAAACAACGTACCTATTTGATGACTATTATTAGATACATCAAATACGTTGTTTTGATTTTTTTATGATAGATGTCCACTTAAATCCTATATATTTATATTTGAAATAATCAAGAGGTAGGGCACAAAATGGCGGCGGGACCTCTATTGTCCCCACTGTTTGTAAAGGCTTATTTAGTCACTGTACCCAAACATAATGCAAATTTCTATACAGTCCTCCTGATGACGTCATCTGTTTATCATTACCAGACAGACAACCTCTTAACTTTAGGAACCTTGGACACAGGCCGTACGCAACGAATGGCCTTGAAAGTTATTTTATTCTTATATGAATAATAATTTACACAAACTGATTCGGAGTTTTTGTGACCGTTGTCAGGGAGCCAATAGATAAATGCAGTCCACAAACTGAAACATAAAAATTTAAAAAAATTAAATTATAAAAAATCTGTTGATATGAGTGGAAAAGTCACATAAAGATACCCATTCCAGAAAAAATAATGAGATCTGCAAAAGAAATTAGCTTGGATCTGCCCCAAAGTTCCTAAAGTTGATAAGCTGTCTGGTAATGGGTAATAACTTGATGACTAGGGTCACAGCCTCCCTCTAGGGTGCCTTATGGAGATTTGCATTACGTTAAGGCACCCCAGATGACGTCATAAAGTTATCAGGCAACCTACCTCTCTCAAAACACCTTGGACCTGCCCTGGAAAAATCTTCAGTGCAAAAAAGTGAAAACATGACTTTTTGCATTCATCAAAAATGACGTACTTTTGTCACCGATGTCAACAAAAAAGCTGTATTTTTGACAATTAGGTATTAGAAGGAATTTTTGCAATTTCCTCACCAAAAACTCTATAGAGCCATTTAAATGCGCCAGGTGGATGTCTGAAAACATGTACGCACATACATGAACGCGCAAACAAAAACATCAATAGAGAGTTCTCGTGCCGTCCAAATTTCAAATACCGTAACGCTATTTGACAAGTATGATAGTTTTTACGGTATTAGCGTTAGCGGAGCCCACTATCTAACGGAACTTACCGGATGCTTTACCGTAACGCTATGCTATGTCAAAACTAGTTTACGCTCCATTTATGTCTGCGAAAACAGCAACTCCTAATAATTCCTCCATAACAAACACCAAGGAAAAATTATTCAAGCTCAGGAATCTTCAGAATAAATACAAGTTAGAAAACAAGCAAAAAAAGTGGGGTTAGATTACTCAACTCAACTGTCAAAATGTAAACAGAATAAGGGATTAGAGGATTTATGTGTCTTCGTGCTCGAGAACTATAAAATACCATGTGAAATACCGTATTGTTAGCGGTACCCTATTAGCGTAGCGTCTGACGCACGAGAACTTTCTAATGTGTATGCAAAATACCGTCGCGTTTTTGAATGTGCAAGCGGTAGAATGACGCTCAGTAATTCTGGAATCGTTAGAAATTTTGTATGCACACTCAGAATACTGTAGCAAGAGTAGCAAGACTGCAGTTTTGTGTGAGCGTCTGTACAAACGCGACATGCACATTGATGTATGCACGTATATGTATCAAGCCATCCACGCCCCTCTATAACCGCCTAATGTGTGTGGCGTGCGAAATACTGATAGAATGACGCTTCGGTGAATTCTAAAAACACTTGAAATTTTGTTTACACACTCGGAAAACTGTACCAATACAGTTTTAATAGTTTTGTGCAAGCGTCTGTACAAAGGCGACATGCACGTTGTTCTTTGCACGTCGATGTAGGCACGTATGTGTGTAACCGCCTTAAAGTATTTTATTTTTAGCGATACTGTACGTACAGTCCTAAGCCGCTTTCCAGCTGACCATTTTGAGCACGCAATCGAGCTTTTGCGCGCGCAAATGCTTCAAGCGCGAGTTTGTGTTCCAGCCATACGACGCTTCGAAAGCTGCTAACTTTTGCGTTTCAAACACAGAACACTGTGTTGCACCGTGCTTGAAGCGCAAACTCAAGTCAGCTGGAAAGCGGCTCATAACGGAATGTAGCCTTTGTGATGTGTCAATTGTGTCATACTTCCCTAATTCCCCCACCATCAAATTCTGGGATATTCGAGGATCAAGAACACTTGATGTCTTCTGTGAGAACAGACCGAAAATCACCTTTTCTATTTTCTACATTTAACATCGACGAAATATCAACTCTCTTTCACAGCCTGAATCGCAAGCATTCCATCCAGGTCTGCGGGTGACGTCATCACTATAAGCAAGCCGCTGGTAGTGACATCACTCGTAGGCCCAGAAATGGTGAGGGAGTTAGGGGACATCGACATAGTTGACAGTGTTGACACACCGCCTGTTCAATTTCTTCCCAAGAAAAAATGGCTGAATACCTCGATCTTGTAAGTAAGTAAAGTCCACGTTTAATTATTGACCCATCCATTCACTTATCTATCTATTCCAAACAAAACAGCAATAGAAGCGACAACCCTCTAGGCAATTTAACAAGCAGATACCCTTGGATTCAGGGGGATGGCAACTGCCTCTTCAGGACACTCGATGTGGGATTGTGGGGGAATATTACGCATGAGGAGTTGCGTGAGGTGAGGGATCATTGGGATCAGTATGTGATTCAGTTTAAAAAAGTGTCAATCTCGATGAGAAAACAAGGCCGGAAACGAAAAGAACCCCTTGAGGAGGCAAGAGAGCTGGTTAATATTGAGGCAAAGGCGGCAACACAAAAGATGAGCAGAAAATGCTCATGGACATTGCAAGGAGCTCTTTGATACCAACCTATGCCTCTTGCAAGGTGATGTGGTGGAGGTTGAAAAGCAGATGGAGGTGATTGCAATTTTGAACTCCTGTTGTCTGAATTTATTTTTATATTATTATTATTATTATTATGATTATTATTATTATCCAGAACTTTAGATCGTTACTCGGACTGTTATTAACTCTGTCACACTTAATTATGAAAACTTTTTCTAATAAATTGTAAACACATTTTATTAGTTTGATAAAAATACTTCAGAGAAAATGCAATTGTTTTATTAAAAAATACACAAAAAGGGAACAACATCTTCACGCGTCTTCAGGAGGATGAAAATCCGGTAAGATTTCCCAAACTTTTTCTCTCCATTTTCGTTTCTTTTCATTTTTAGCCTTTTCCATTTGCAGCACTGCTGGTAAAGTTCGTCATTGGAAAAAAGATTGAAATAGGAGTCTCCTGAAATTATTGGAATTAAATATCATTTAGAATAGAATAGTAGCTTTATTTCAAATTTATTTTTTACAATACATATCTCAGCATCACAGAATAACATGAAATGAAATGGCGTCACAAAGCAATATACCTAAATTACATATCCAAGTAATCTTTCAAACAATATGGTTCTATGTCTATTAACAGTTTCTTGGTTTTATTCTTAAGTTCCTTGTAGTTTTCTATTGTGTTAGTTAAAGTCGTTTGGTAATTTATTAGATATTTGATATTTTAATACAGTTGTAAGATGGGTTTTTTTTCACTTAAAGTTCTATGAATAGGATAATATAATATCTGATAACCTGTAGTTCTAGTATTGTATGTGGTGTTAGTGTTATGTATTAAAAATTCATTTTTGTTTTTATGCAAATATAAATTGCATTCATGTATGTAGACCATAAACTGTTAATATTTCCAACTTCGTGAATTTGCCTCTGCATAAGTCTCTGAAACTCATGTTATGCAATAATCTGATAGTTCACTTTTGGGCTACAAAGACTGATTGTATTGAGGAACTGACTCCCCAGAAAATGATACCGTACCACATCCGAGATTCAAAATTTGCATAGTAAATGATTTTTTTAACTTTGTCTTCTACAGATGCGTTTAGTACTCTGAGTACAAAACAAACCCGCGGTTTGATTTTTTCATTAAACTTTCAATGTGTGTTGACCATTCTAGAAATTTATCAATTATAACACCTAAAAATTTAGTGTGCTCTGATGTGTCAATTTCCTGATTATGGATACTATTGCTGATGGTTTCTCTTTTAGTTTTTTAGTGCGAAAAATCACAATGCTTGTCTTGCTCTCGTTTATGACTAGTTCATTTTTCTCAAACCAATCCTCTGCTCGAGAATCTAGCTCATTGCACTTTTCTTCCCGTCATGCCGATCCACTCCCGCGATCAGCAGATTGGTGTTATCCGCATAGTTTGTTATCGCAGACTCTCCCAATCTGCTGCACTCCGAACACAAATCGTTTATCATAACCAGGAATAATATCGGCCCTAGTATGCTCCCCTGAGGCAACCCCACCTGATTTTGTAGGCATCCTCATCTAGAGGAGTTATTGTTCTTATTAATTTCCACACGTTGCCATCAATCTGAGAAGTATGAGGTCAGCCAACTCAAAGCGCTGTCCTTTATACCATAATTTTCTAGTTTTTTTTTTTAAATAGTTTCTGTTTAGGCAGTCAAAAGCCTTTGATAAGTCAATGAATAGCCCAGCAGCTAATTTATTTTCTTCAAGAAATTTAAGTATATTTATCTATTGAAAAATTGCTGTCGAAGGGACATTGCCATTTCAAACATTTTTGTAAAGCAAAATTTATGAATCAATAATTTTTTAATTTTTCTGAATCTCCTGACTTAAAAATTGGTGTTATGAGAGTTACCTTTAGCTGGTTAGGAAAAATGCCAAATTTGAATGATTTATTTATAACATATAACAAATATAACTATCTTCATGCTTGGCAAGTTTAACAATATTTATAGGAATCTCATCAATGCCACTACTTACTTACTTAGTTTATTTATAAATTTTTGAGATATTTCTATTATTTCTTCTGGGGTAAATGGTCTTATACAGGGTGTACCATTTAAAACGAATCAGGCTAAATATCTGATGCTAAGTTTATTTTTTAAAAAATCACTCGTATACGTAATTTGATTTTCAAAGGGGGAAGTCTTCTGCAACCATTTTTAGCACTTCAACTTCAACCCTCTAGGCGGGGTGGGATCAACCCTTACTATATACTGCCGGACAAACTGGCAATTTCTAATAAAAAATTGGGATTAGCTAATGCTCACCAAGTGCTGCAAGATGCTGCTGAAGAAAATTCATAATATTTATCAATTAATACGTTATCCCCAATTATATCTTCCCAGGCCAAGTTCATGACAACCCGGACAAGTCAGCATTTTTTTATCAAAAAGTGAGGTCCTCTAGGGCTCGTCAAGTGCTGTGTTCAAGTCTTTCCACATTTTCAATTGCTTTTATGTTGTCTGGCAACATTTTATAAGCCTTAATGCCCAAATGAAGTGAGGGCTCCTCTCAAAAAATGTTGAGCAACAGAGAGGAATACTCAAGCCACCCCTGTTTCTGGTCGTCATAACCATATCAATTCCATAATATGCCTGATTGGAAAGAAACATGTGAATATTCCGCTCCACAAACATCACCGAGAATGCAAAGTACAGTGATGGAACAGTCAACACCCCCAACTCAGAAAAAAATGGTCTACAAGAGCCTCTAGGACGTAGGCCCAGGATACACCTCAGGATCCGCTTCTGAAGTCTGAAAACGAGCGGTGCCCCCTTTGATGCGCCACAAAAGCATTTTCCATAACTAATAATTGATTATGGATTTGACCAAAGTAGAATAGCCAAACTAACTCGGGTGAAATGACCAGTCTCAGTCATCTTAGGAGACCACACAACCTACTGAACCTCAATCAATATGGACTCTCCAATTCGGATTGGGGTCAATCTGAAGTCCCAGAAACTTATATGATCAGTGAGCGGAACAGTCCTTCCATCCATTCGAATAACAAGAAGAGACTCCAAGTTATTTTGAGTCTTGGAAAAAACTATTATCCAAATTGTTGCTTGCTCAATATGTTATGTCCAATCAGATGATTCATCACTCTTGAATAAAATAACCCTCTCGAATACTTTAGAGTCAGCAGGCAGAACTGATACTGAACCGTAGTTTCCAATATTGTCGGGAATTAACCAACGGCAGAAAAAATAATTCTCCGCCTATGGTTATAACTTCCCTATGGCTTGCCTAGTATCAAAAGTTCCAGTTGAACCCTCTTCTGTATGAATGGTGGGATTTTGGAAGTTGACATAGTACCAATAGGAGGGCAATAGGATTACATCTAAGAGAGTGGGAATGTGTATGAGGGGCGAGTTTTCCGCTAGCATTATTGCAGACTAAGCTGGAAATGTGCTAAGTTAGCCGTAATTTTATGATTGTCTCTTTCTAACTTGTGTTTATGTGTAATTATCAATTTTGTAGAAAATGTAACAAATCATGGTACGGTACTGAAGGTAGGATAGTGAGGGTAATTTTCCTGACAGAAATTTTGTATAAAAATGCATGTTGGCGTAAAGTGGACAGCTCTTAATTAACTTTTCAAGTGCAGAAAGCTACTGTGCTGGTGAAAAAAATAGAAAGTTACTCTGCCGGTTAGCAGTTTCAAATTAGTCTCTCAAGTTAAAACCACTTGAACAAGAGATGGAAGCCTACAACTTTATTTCTGAAAAGAGCTACTTTCCGCCAACACCGTAAGTGGTATTTTATTTATTTTTTCTTTCTCAAATTGTAAGATTTAGAGAAGTTACATATTTTTGTCTAATATTTAATCCTCTATTATTTTAGCAAGTAAGAACTTTATTGAAACTCATGATTATCTTTATTATTTTAATTCAATATCCAATTATCTATCAGTTAATTATTATATTTATTATTTTTTCGCTTCGCTCATCTTATAGAAATAAATTTAATTTAAACTGATTATCTAGTTTCTTTTGAATCAATGGTTATCAGAAGTTTTGAGTAAAGAAAACACGGAAGATCTTGGTAAGAAAATATAAAAGTATATTTTCACTTTAGGATCGGATTTCTAACAAAAGTTCATCCCGACAATATTCTGACTATTTCCTTTCTCAAACACTGGAACCACTTTAGCTCTTTTAAGAACATCAGGAAATACTTGAGTAAAAAGACACTCATAAACAACATCAGACAAAGGCACACAGAGAGCTACAAATTACAACACATAGACAGGAACTCCACCGAGACCCGAAGAATACTTTATTATAGGGAGCAACATCAAACAAAATTCTAAAAATCTCCTGTGGGTCAACTGGCTCCAGAAAAATTGATGGATAGGGATAGTTATAGTATCCGCCAGAGATATTCGAGATTCGTACAAAAAAGTATGTTTATATTAGGTTTGTTCCAACACGTCAAAAACCGTCCCATGAACGGTTTCGAAACAACTCTAGGTCTGTTTCAACACAGCAGGAAACCGTACAATGTACCGTCATGATTCTGCGCAAAGCGTAAAATTTGTGCGTAGAAACCAAAATTCGTCCACCGAGTGGTTTCGAAACCGTTCATGGGACGGTTTTTGACGTGTTGGAACAGACCTTCTGTATACGAATTTCGGGTTGTACGCACAAATTTTTGGCTTTGCGTAGAATCGTGACGGTACATTGTACGGTTTCTTGACGTGTTGGAACAAAGCTATTATATCAGCCGGCCTGCATTTAGTCAGGGAGCACATGTCAGAAACCGCTGCAGTGGAAGCTAAAAATAAATACCTAGCAAAAGAAAGTGAATAAGTAGGTGGTATAAAAAAAAAATATATATTTGAAAATTTAAAAAAAATAATTTCAATACACTATACAATCACAAGTAAACAACCGCGGCACAAGAAAATCACTTAACGTAGCATTTTCTATTGGTACATTAGCTCTTATAAACCATTCCATGGCGTAAAGGCTCGATAACAATCCACAACCAAAAGCCAGCATGTACCAAAATATTATATTGACTATATCCAATTTTGGTATCCGCAAAAAGCTCAAGCATCCTCCAACAAAGCAGAAGGCCAAAAATAATGCCGGGAAGAAGAATCCAAATATGTATGTTAACACCCATTCATGAACTATGGCGGATATCAAGAACACCGTTAGTTTAGCCACAGTTTTACTCCCGGGTACAATAGATTCGTAAAAATCTTTGTAGATATAAGTATAGAGCCAATCTCCAACGACCATGTTCCACATTCTGAAATAGTCCGAATAATTTGTGGCCGTCCACCAATCCAAATAAAATTGTCTATCTCCAAATCGGAGCAATTCTCCAACCAAATTTTGAGCTGCATCAATAACTACATAGAATGCTAGAAGTAGGAACATTAGGCCAACAGCAAAATTGTCAAAGGCCATCATTCCGAGTTCACGAATGGTGTAGGAACGTAATCCCATGTCTTTTAAGTTGGGTATAATGAATCTTTCTACAAGAAAGGCATAGTAGAAAATTACTCCCACTAGTTCCAATGTTTTTTCAAAGACTAGGTTCCATCTGATGGATTTTCTCCTAGAAAAAAAATGCAGTTTTCATCATGCAATTATAATCAAATTTAACTCACCTTGGATACTCATCACAATAGACCAGCGTAGGAGCAAACAAAAAGTATAAAAAATGCTTGAAGCTGGCCAAGTTCAATTTCTGATCGCTGTGTGGTTTGAAATTTATCACTTTTTCCGCACTTGTCCTGACGAAAGCGTGGATTTTCATTAATAGTCTTGTCTGAAATAAATTTGTGACTTTTCATTCTTGTTGAGGCAAACCTCGAACTCACCTGTTCCAGGCAGACTACCGAAGAGGTTGCGATTGGTAACTTCAAAACAGTTACAACTACTGAGATCACACGAAATTGGAGGATATAGTAGGCAGCCAGTGAGAGGAGCCATATACTGTCCCAAAGTTTTTTATTGGGAGCTAAAATTTTAAATAAAAACAATAATAAAGTCAAAATTAAAAAAAAAAACTAAGTGGATAATTTCTTAGTGGTAGATATTAAAGATATTTTCGAAAGATTGAGAGTGCAATGAAATTTGAGGTAGATGAGTGACTTTTTTTTGAAACATGCTCTTTGTTGATAACGGATTTCTTTTTTTACACATTTTTGAGGGTGCCACTTCCAGATTATATACGCCCCTGACCTGACTTCGTGCTTCAAATAATAATGCTGATAATAATTATTGATATCTATAACTAAAATAATATAATTGAAATACTATTATTTTTGTTTTTATCTAAATTATCATTGATCTGTTAAATTTATGTATATATAATACATACTTATTTTTCCAATTAGAATTTATTCCGAAGCGATAGTATGAGTTCAAATTAAGATTGTACATTTTTGATCAACATCTTATACCATTCACATGACTTATTGGAATTGCAAATATGTTACTAGAATTGATTAAAAAGAAAAATAATTATGTGACAACACAAACAAGATTGTTTACTCGCTTGTATAATAATTATCATTGTTAAACGTTCTAATACAAGAAAAGCTCTGTTTTCAAAAAAAGGACGGTACACTAGATATAACGGTCCAAAGCAGCAAAAAGGAATTTTTAATATCCGAACCGTTGTCATTTTGTTGACTGATAAACTGTGGGATTGTTTTGAACCGTTCTAGAACCGTCCTTTTTTCGAACCAAAACAAAGCTACTATCGAAAAACAGTAGATAATTTGGACAAAAAAAACGGCAAATTTTTGAATTCGGCAGCTAATTAGCGGCAAAAGACCTAAAAAAAATAGGTACAAATTCCTTCACTTGAGTTTATACACGAGATTTACACAAAATTAGCAAAATAAAATAAATACAATTGGCCAATTTATAAAACGTTACAAAATTCCAAATTAACCAACTAGGTATACCATACCTATATGAAATCAGCAAAAAAAAGTACCGGCACCTAATATATTGATGAAGTATTTTTGTTTTTTTTTTTACTTAGGAAGGCGGAAATAATCAGTCTCATTGAAATTTGGTTATATTTTATATTATCCCATTCTCGACCTTTGACACAGCATGAATAATATTTGATCTTATCAGCTGAGTATTCTTATCGCACCAAATTATTCGTAAATACCTAACTAGAAAATATATCAATCTAGTTAAACTCAATTTTTGAAGGAAATGCATTTGGTGTATAAACCATAAAGGGTGTCGTTAATAGTTACTGACACATTTTGCAAGTAGATATCTTTAAAACGAGAAAAGATAACGAGATAAACTACATCTCCTAATTCCATTTCTGAGCCTGGGATCCATTCGCGGTTTGTTCTGTTCGATAAGAAGACTACTCAATAAATCTTGGAAGTTTGAAGTCCTCTGATTGTTTGAAGTATTTTTCAGAAGCTTTCAAAGGTGATTTAATAGAAATTTTCTATGATTTGATTGCATCTTAGTGAGGAAAAAATCCTGAATCCATTTCTAAGCCTGAGAACTAGTTGCGGTTTGTATTAATAATTAAATCCTGGAAGTTTGAAATAGGTACCTACCTTTGATTGCTTGAAATATTTTCAGAAGCTCTCAATCAAATTTTTACATGATTTTTTTTTGCATCTAAAAGTGAGAAAATTTATAATTCCATTTCTGAGCCTGAGATCCCCTCGCGATTTGCTTTGTTCAATGAAAAGACCCTACTCAATAAATCCTGAAGGTTTGAAATCTCTCTGATTGCTTGAAGTATTTTCCACGAGCTCCCAAAAGTGATTTAATAGAAATTTTAGATAATTTTATTGCATTTAAGTGAGAAAAAAATTCATAATTCCATTTCTGAGCCTGCGATCCACTCGCGATTTGTTCTGTTTGATAAGAAGACCTTACGCAATTAATCCTGAAAATTTGAAGTGCCTCTCATTGCTTGAAGTATTTTTAAAAAGCTTCCGAAGGTGATTTAGAAAAATTTCACATGGTTTTCTTGCATCTAAGTGATAAAAAATTCATAACTCCATTTCTAAGCCTCGGATCCATTCGCGATTTGTTCTGTTTGATAAAAAGACTCTACGCAATAAATCTTGGAAGTTTGAAGTCCCTCTGATTGCTTGAAGTATTTTTCAGAAGCTTTCAAAGGTGATTTAATAGAAATTTTGCATTATTTTTATTGCATCTGAGTGGGAAAAAAAAGTCATAAATCCATTTCTGAGCCTGAAATCTAACATTTTCAATTTTTGCAGAAAACGATATGCCTTTGCATCGTTTTTAGGTGCTGTCGTAGCTATAGACCAAAATTGTAGCCAAAAGTGTCGATATTTTTTCACTTAGTGGCAACAAGAATGAGTAGGTACCTATGCATCATTGAGCCAAAAAAACTCTAGTAAAAATAAGTACTGCCCAGCTTTGCTGAAGCGTTTTCATATATTTTAAAAATATGAAAAATAACTTATTTATATCGAAAATTATCGCAAACCAAACTTACACTTAAGCGGCATATTTATCCTAATTCTGGCCCAGACGTTGAAACCGAAATAACACAAAATAATGCAACCATTCAATGTTATCCATATTGGCGGTACCCAATGAAACTTTGCCAAGCCAGTTGCGATGACATTCAATCCCAAATTCAACCTACGAAAAATTTAAATTAATAAAAAAATATTGGCATGGAATATAATGGTAGGTACTTACTCTCCTCGTTCAGAAAAACCATGGATAACTGTGTTTATGAACAAACCAATAAGGGCTGCAGCAAAAATGTGTTTTACAACTCTGATGTGGGGATTTTGTTCACAAAGTTGGGCTATAAGGGAATCTCTAATTTCGAACTTTTTGATTGGCAGTTGCTTTATTATTTTTCTTCTTCTAAAAAAAATTTTAGGCTGAAAAATGGATATACTAAAGCATGAGAGTGAAGTAATATCCTACATAACTATGGCAGGGAGTATTTGTCCTACTATTCTTAAGAAATTAAAGTTAATCAATTTCAAAAAATTGTGATTTTTGCAATTTTTAGACTATTATTACGATACTTGGATACCAAATTATAGGCAAAAATTTTACACAATCTCAGCATAATAGTTATGGGTTTATGTATTCATCAGATCCAGGCCTAACACATACCACTTTAATAAGAATTTTATTGTTATATTCTTAAAAAAGGAACTTCTTTGAAAACTAAGCAGTGGAAGTTCAAATTTCTAACTAGAAGGACAATAAATTAAATTATTGTCAATATATGCTTTAGACTCCACAAATGTCCAACTTCCATATAAATTTATGAATAACTTCATGTTTTACCTAGCTTTCTTTTCCTCTTCAATGCTGCTGCTTGGATGTCTGTTAATAACTTCGCCCATGTTTGAAATTTTCACGCGACAGCCATCTGTAAGAAAAACGATTGTTACGAGCACAATAAAATCACTTCACTTGGTTTGGGTTATGATCTTCGTCTAGATGAGATGAAAGAACAAAAGGTGATTCAAATTCAGCTACTAATTTGTATAAATATTAAGATTTTTTAGCAATAAAGTGTCTTTTGTGTGCTTACAGGTAAAATAATCTTCTAAGATAAAACTGATAGCCTGATAGCACATCCATCTTCAAGTTCTGAGTGGATTTTTTTGAGACATCAAACTATATTTCCACATAATTGAAGATGAATAGTTTCGTAATTATTTTATCGACCTACTCTTGTCCCAACCAAACTACTTTTTTGTAAAACTGAGAGTTGATGTCCATTTACCGAGATAACTTCGGAAAATGGAATTGCCACTATTCGCTCGTTTATAGTGTGTTTATACACGTGTTTCGCTAAAAAGAAAGGCAAGAACAAAAAAATGAGAGTGTGAAAATAAGCCATTGTTTTGCCGATAATCAGTTCTGAGTTCTGAAAATCGAAAATCTTTCCAATCGTATTTTTTTTATAGAAAAAAATAGGTCGCAAATTTTCATTTTTCACAACTAATAAGCCGCAAAAATTAAACACTCAATTGTGTCTAGTTAACTTTAAGCCAAGTTAGCGAAACACTTAATAAAAAAAAAGAGCCGCAAATTTTTCTCAAAAAAAAAAGTCTTAATTTTTTGTTTGTATAAAGATTTTTATGTATTTTTCACTTAATAAATTTACTACCCCACTAGCAGATAAATAATTTTATACGATAAAAATACCCAAATAATCCCTATGGCCCGCGTGTTCCCACTGAGTTTTAAAACTACTCTCCTGAAGCCCAAATCTCAAACCGCTGATATTGGAAAGTGGAAATTCAGGAAAGAGTTCACAAATTGAAAAATTCTAACTGAAAAAATACCTACTCACCTTTTTTGTTCTTGTTCTTAGTGCTCGCAGAGCTTTACACAAACCAGACACTTAATCAAATCAAACTACTGAATAGATTTAAATTAATTGTTGTTGTTCAGTTTTACCTGTTCTTCTAGTTTATTCTAATAATAGCGAATATAATGCTCCTTTTCATCGGATTCACTTAAACATAATAAAATAAAATTGGTATATTGTTCGACCATCTACAACACAATAATGTCAATAAAAACACCGAATAAAAACTGAAGCAAAATTACAAGGGTATACAATACGCACATATCAAGCTTGTTACTATATTATATTATCATCATTGGATTTATCTTGAGAAACAGTACCGTACTAGAGAAAAATCGATTTGATTTAAAAAAAAATATATAAAAACTCGGTACAACCAAGTGAGTGGGGCCCTCAGCATTTGCAAAATAATTTATTTTTACATGGGAAACGGAAAATAGCGATACGGAAAGATATATATGCTGTTATAATAAGTTGTACTTATCATATGTAGTTAAGAGGTAATAATAATAAAGTTATTTTTTAAAAAGATATAAAAACACATAATATTACATTGTGTCAGGTCTCAGGACCCAAAAACTAGATTTTTTAAAGTACCAGTACCAGAGTCAATAGTTATGAAAAGATAGATGCAAAACAATTGGAAGCAGAAGTTTATTTAAAATGTTGATCTCCATACATGGCAGCGTCGGGATAAATGAAGGAAAACGAAGAAAACGTTGAAATACCCTTATTTCTATACATTTTGGGATATGAAGGTAGACATCCCAGACAGCACAGATGTTCACAAACGATATATGAGACGTCTTTTTGACGTCTGCTTACGTCTTCAAGGCGTCTAACACATTGCATGCCGCGTATATATTGGGAAAATATCCCACGAGGCCACGCGTATTTTTCTCTTAATTTTTATTAAAAAGTGGCTGAAATGATAGATTATATTATATTGTTTATAGTACCTACTTTTTTGTTTGTTTTTAGCTTTTCCCACCATTTTTTCCATTATTTCTATATACCTATCTATCTCTTAGAAAATACTTTCAGGAAGATCTCAAATACATAGCGGGAGAACCAAAATGAGGCACTTTCTGAGTCACCCTGCCTCACCCCTTAGGGCCGGTTTCTCAATAGCGAGTCACCTGCGGATTGGTTTTAACTCCAGGCTAAGCGTGTCCAGTTGCTATGTTTACCCTGGAGTTATCCTTAACCCGGGGGTGACCTGCTATTGAGAAACCGGCCTTTAGGGGGTCGCTATCCTTACTTATTTTCTAAAATACGAACCTATACCTTGTGTCTTGTGTTGTACATGGTTGGATAGCTAATTGCTATCCCTTTAGTCATATAGTAAAATACAGGGTGATTCAAAAGTAAGCGGCATCCTTTCAGGGGCGTATTCCTTGCATAAAAACAAGACAAAAAGTTCCTATTAACATGGGTTCGGAAATGCTTCCTAAGGGAGCTACGCCCCTTCGTATAGGACACCTGAAACACGTGTTTTTCTGTATACCTTTGAAACCCTTCACAAATGGATTTTGAAAATTGGTGTATTTTATAAACATTTGATGGCAATTAAGAAACTAAATTGAAAATTCAAAAATCTCAATCAGTGTCACATACTGGGGAGGGTGAAAACATCCCTATTTGTTTTTTTACTCGTCAGGTTTTTGCGAAACATACGCAAATCAAAAAATTTTCAAAGTCAATTTTCTCTCCTATTCGAAGGAGCGTAACTCCCTTAGGAAGCATTTCCGGACCCATGTTAATAGGAACTTTTTGTCTTATTTTTATGCAAGGAATACGCCCCCGAAAGGATGCCGCTTACTTTTGAATCACCCTGTATTTAATCGTACGATTAGTTTCTGACATATCGATGTTTAAAAATAAACATATTTTTAAAACTACGCCTTAGTAATTTTGACTACCAATCTCTTAGACAAAAGAATTCTGTCATAAAAGTATCAAATACACATCGGAGAAACCAAATATGTTTATTGTCTAACCCCTACTCCTCATGTTTTGGAGGCTTGCCCCCCTAATGATTTTTCTTAAATGAGTCTCATTAGGCTGAATTCACTTGAAACCACGTTGTGCAACTGACACCCAACATATATCAAATCATAATTCAACCATTTCTCGCCGGTATTCGGTAGTGCCCCACTGCTGCACTGCTACCCACTAAGCAATGTAATATCGCTTTAATATTTTAGTAATGTTTCTAGATAATATTGTAATATTTCATTTTTTATTGCTGCTATATAAGTGCAAGGCTGCTGCAATTACTGAAACGGACTTATTCTAATATGCACAAATGCAATGTTTACAGAATAAATTTTTCTGCAATATCGCCTCAAACTTGTATTTTCATAAAAAATTAATTACGTTTGTAACATTAAAAAATGCTAGCTTACAGAAACCTGCATTTAACGTTGTTCATAAACTTAGATAAATATTACACTTGCAATATTTTTATTGGTACTTTATAGAAATTTACATAATGAAATATTGTATATATGATAGATATTTAATATATCGTAAGGATTTGCATTAATGCAAGATCCGCTATTTTCAAATTCCCTTTTCTGCCAGTCCAACTACAGACAGACCGGGAACAATGGTTAGTTAATAAATTTCCAATTTCCAATTGATCTTATCACACATGCCTCGACTCCTCCAACATAGGTATATTGTAAACAAGCCACCTAAAATTAAAAATTAAACAGTAGGTATTAAAATATCACAAAAAATTAAAATGTTAAAATCTTACAACATTGGCTTTATTCTCTTCCTCTCCCAACATCTCAAGATCTTGATGAACCCTTTCGTCCTGTTCAATTCTCTTGTATTATTTATCAAGCCAAGAAAAAAGAAGCGTCGTCTGCGTCCTCCGTCCTAGCGTCCTGGCTTTTGGTGGTGTGGAGTCAACAGGTCAACAACAAATGGGTGGTGCGTCTGCGCCGTTCCGAATTCCCAAATAATTGTCCCGTCTTTGTCAGTCAAATATATTTTTGCATGACAGAGACAAAAACAGCATATTGCAAATAAAATATATCTGCAAACTTTATGCAACATTGAGAAAATTTATGTTTCCTATTCCAAATATTGAAATATTTAGGTAACGTTTTTTATTCTTGAAACTGTTAACGAGTTAACGTACGCATATATCTGCAACATTACAGCGATAGTTTTAAGAAAAGTTGAGCTTATAATATTTATATGCAACCATTTATTTTATTATATATTTTCAATGTTACAAACGTAAATATTGCCGCAACATTAAAGCAACAGAGTTGAGAAAAGTTACATTTCATATTGTTATAATATTTGCTTTACTTACATTTTATAATGTTTCAAATGTAATACATTATTGTATCTACTGCAACATTGCCAACATTTACTTGATAACTAAAACAAATGTTTCTCTATTGAAGTTATATCAAGTTTATATCCCTTGACATTGGATAAGTAATATTTTAGAAAGCTTAACGTCACATTACGTAATAAATTTTCTAAAGTAAGGTCGATACCTACAATATTGCTGACAAATTTTGCAACATCACATGTTTAGGGGGTACCCACTGTATACTATTATCATACATCAGGTAATATATCGACGTCAAATGTACGCTTCATAAAACGTCTAATACAAGTAATTTTTTCTGAATGGACCATATTATTGGGTTTTACATGGTAACTTTTGAACCTGTTGGGTCATGTCATGGTCAAATAAACGTCTACTACGTGACGTCCCAAACAAGTCATATTTTGCAACCTCTTTCCGACGTCGAATTTTGGTTAATCGACGTAAATCTTTTAGACGTCATAACGACTACCTTTGCTGCTTCGTATGTTTGTTGGAATAGGAAAAAAAACCTGCTGGAAAACATCCGCCAGCAATTAGCATTTTAAATGTTTGAATAGATTTGGATCAGACGACTTTTTCGCAGATCTGTTTTTGTATTAAAATTGTATTCGCTAACATCCAAATGTTCTCTATTATTCATCTTGAGATAAACTTGCTGGTAACTATCTGCAAGATAAATTTACAGATCTATATTCCTGTTGGTCACTGGATAGTTGGTTGACCAATGGGATTACATATTGCGTTTTTATCCGTCAGATTGCATTACCTGACAGCTTGCGTGACAGTTTATTAGAAAGTTAATAAACCGGCTCTTATTTTTATTAAGAGGCTCTTGAAGAGCCGGGAATAGATAAGAGGCGATTTCGACAAGCTTTGGTACATGGTTTGGTACCCTGATGGTCTGTCAAATGCATACCAACCAATTTCGGATACGAAAATGATGTCGTCACCGTAACTTTGGTTTCCTTTTTGGTCTGTCAAATAGGATACCGTGGTCAGCAGCACGGTTCTTCTATTTTGTATAGTGCTATCTACGTCTATTTTCGTTTTGTCTCTGGGAAATGTAAATAAATGGAAGTTCATTAGAATTTGAATAATTTGAAATTTTTAACAAATATGTTTGTTTTTTTCGCCTTCACTTCCTGTTTTCTCGTATTGACTGCCAAATAATGTTTGAGGATCATTTGAAAAATAGGTTTGAACGACAGATATGGGGTAACTTTTTTGCTGAATGGATTATGGAATAAGCTTTAAATTTACAGAAAACGCTGAGTTAGCCAATAGGTTACTCAAAGGTACTGTCTAGACAGTGCTGATTAGTGATTATAGATTTTAGTTAGTGCAGTCAGTATCTAGTCGCTCCCGAAACTAGAAGAACAACACAAAGTTAGGTTAAGGCTCGTCTCTTCTCCTCTCTCATGACCTACCAAACGAATTCGGAACAAAATGGTGCAGGTACCAAGTGGTTAACCAAATGGTATACCAACCAAAGCTTGCCGAAATCGCCTAAACATTTAAGAATTGAAAGGCAGACTATAAAGGCGGTTACACACGAACGTGGATGTCTTAATACATATACGTGCATACATCAACGTGCAAACAACAACGTGCATGGCGCTTTTGTACAGACGCTCGCACAAAACTGCAGTCTTGCTATTAGGCGGTTACACACGGACGTTGATGTCTGAAAACATGTACGCACATACATGAACGTGCAAACAAAAACATCAATGTGTATGCAAAATATCGTCGCGTATTTGAATGTGCAATTTTGTATGCACACTCGGAACACCGTAGCATGAATAGCAAGACTGCAGTTTTGTGCGAGCGTCTGTACAAACGCGACATGCACGTTGTTGTTTGCACGTTGATGTATGCACGTATATGTATTAAACCTAAGGGCGGTTACACACGGGCGTGGATGGCTTAATACATATACGTGCATACATCAACGTGCAAACAAAAACGTGCATGACGCCTTTGTACAGACGTTCGCACAAAACTATCAAAACTGTAATCTTGCTATTCTGGCTACAGTGTTTCGAGTGTGCCTATAAAATTTCTAGCGATTGCACATTTAAAAACGCAACGGCATTTTACATAAGGCGGTTACACACGGACGTGGATGTATGAAAACATGAACGCACATACATGAACGTGCAAACAAAAACATCAATGTGTATGCAAAATATCGTCGCGTTTTTGAATGTGCAATTCTGTATGCACACTCGGAACACCGTAGCAAGAATAGCAAGACTGCAGTTTTGTGCGAGCGTCTGTACAAAACGCCATGCACGTTCTTGGTTGCACGTTGATGTATGCACGTATATGTATTAAAACATGCACGTCCGTGTGTAACCGCCATGTAACCGCCTTAAGGGAAAATGGAGTAGTAAGTAGACTTTATAGCGATTTCCATTTGTCGAACCAGTGCAAAAAAAAATGTATCCATATCCTTACATGTTACATGCTTTTAGAAAAAGATGGGGATACACTCAGTGCGCACTGATTGACAAATGGAAATCGCCATTAAGTTCCTATTGGGTCCAATATTTTGGCGCCAAAATATTGGACTATAGGAAGTTCATTGATAGGGATACTGCCGGATTGACGGAAAAACGGATGCATGGAAAGTAAGCTTTAGGCTAAGCTGAACGTTGTACGTTGAGAATTGACATGACTTAGGTACTTTTCAAAGAGTAGCATTTTTCCATTCCAAACTCACGATCTTCAAGGAAGACTCAAGGAACGACTATAAAATTGGCCCTTAAAGCGTTTCACCTCCCTAGAAGAGAGAGAGAATTGCTTCGAAACTTCTTAAAATTCTCTATGATGCACAGCACAAACCAGTCAGAGTGAATTTCATACTGCAAAAAAAATGCGTTAGCTTTTATGGTGTTTGAGTAATATGTATTTGTTTCGAAATTCAACATGTAAAATACCTACATTTAATTTTGCCTCTATGACCCACTGAAATTATAAATAATTTACGAGAGCAATAAATTCGTTGAAAAATTTCATAAAAAGATTCGCCAAATTCCATAGTTTTTGAGGTAATTGGCTCAGATTGATCCAGGTCTGCTTGGAGCAGATCTAGCAACTAAAAATGAAAACCCCTCATTACCAGTTCAAGTGAGGGCGACATAACCTCGAAAATAAAGAAAACATAAACATTTAAAAGTAGGTAGGTAATTTTAACAAAAAGTTAAAAATTAGCAGCAATTAATTTAAATTATGCTTTCCGAAATAACCAGGAAAAACTATGGCAAAACGAAGAAAACCTGAAAAATTGAACAAGTGGATTTACAGCTTGTGGCTCCTGAGGATTCTTTTAGTAATTGTCCCACAAACTGGTTACATTCACCCCGATGAATATTTCCAATCCGTTGAAGTCCTAGCAGGGAAAGTATTCGATGTTGAGCACAGTCCTCCATGGGAATTCAACACGACTCTTCCTATAAGAGGTATAACTATTCCTTACCTAACCACAGGATTGTCTTATATATTCCTCAGGGATGTGAATAATTTAGCCATTGAATTTTTATCTTTAAACATAGTTCTACCTTATTTTCTCATTACGGTGCCTCGATTACTTATGGCAATGCTTTCGTTTATTGTGGATTATTCTCTCCACAGAATCTGTTTAAATAATAATGAAAAATACAAAACAAGACTGATAGTTTTAAGTACCTCGTATGTAATGCTTGTTTATGGAACCAGAACTTTCTCAAATACTACTGAATTAATACTCTTCGCTGTACTATTATATTTTGTATGTGAATCTCAAACTTTCTCCAATGAATTAGTACGTAAACAAGAGTACATCAAGTATAGGTATGATAAAAGCACTTCTATGGTTGAAAAAGTAAAATTTCATAAACTCAAACTATATTTAGTATCTGATAATTATAGAAATTGCTTTGTTATAGCTACTATAACAGTTTTTGGCATATTCAATCGTCCAACTTTTATTGCCTATGCTGTAATGCCAGTCTTTTTTTGGATTTATCGGGGTATTGAACAAAAACGAGTTTCCATAACACAATTTCATACTAGAATTATATTCTTTGCTATGTGTTGCACCCCTGCAATAATATTTAATGTTCTTATTGACTCATTCTATTATGGTTATATTACATGGGGCGAAGTGGGCATGTTAGATGTTTCTATCAATAATTTCATAATGACTCCTCTCAATTTCATAAAGTACAACATTAATTCTTCAAATTTAGAAAAGCATGGCTTGCACCCAAGATTTTTACATTTTTTAGTAAATATTCCATTGTTATTCAATGTTTTAGGGATAATGGCTTTATTCACCATAGCAAAATATATCTATTGGGCCTTTTTGAAAAAGTATAATCTTTTGCCATCCATTAAAAGCATTAAAATGCTCATGACAATGTCTTTTATAGGTCCTGTTGGGATATTGTCGATATTTCCTCATCAAGAGCCAAGATTTTTAATTCCGATTTTATTTCCCTTGATTTATTTGCATAGCGATCAAATTTTACCTGAGTCTGATAGAATTTTAGTGAAAACTCCTGAGGGTTCTATCCAAAATAAAACTCAGGAATTTAAAGCAAAAACTTCATCCAATCAAATATTGAAAATATGGTTGTCAGTTAATTTTTTGTTTTTAATATTTTATGGTTTTATTCATCAAGGTGGTGTTTATTTGGCTGTTAATTATATGCACAAAGATATTAAATTTACTCCTATGAACACCGAATTCCATATAGTTACAAGTAATATTTATTCCTTGCCAGAGTCGTTCCTTCTGCAAAAAACTAGTAATAAACTGTTTTCTCAAAATCAAATTAAATATTCTGTTAAAAAGCGAGTATTTTTGTATGAAGAAGGATCTAAAGATTTAACATCTATCATCAGCGATCTTGAAAGCATGGTCAATGCAAAAAAATTATTGAACAATAGTTTTAAACATTATAAAAAATATAAAATTTATTTGTTAATATCGAGCAGTAGGAGCGAACAAGCAGAGAATATATTAATGGAAAATGGCATATTTTTCAGCAAACTAGACAGCTTTTGGCCTCACATAAGTACGGAAGCTTTCCCAGATCTTACAAAATATTGTATTAACTCTGTGTCTGTATTTTATAAAAATTGTGAAGCTTTACCTTTAAGGGATTATATACGAAAAATTAATGAAATGTGTGAACTAATTTTATATGAATTAGATTATCAGGTTAAAAAACCTGTTATGACTAGAAGCATGTAGAATATAGAGGTCCACATTTTTTAGTGATAAACGTGATATTTATAATTGTGTTTAAATCAGATATTTTAACTTAAGCTACGAACTGAAGACAATTTGCAATATTTTAGCTGTAAATACTTTTCTTTGTTTTTATGAGAATCTTATTGTAATGCAAACTTTATTATTATTATTTGTGATAATCGGTTTTTATTACCGAGTATTAGGTCTGAACTCATAATTTGATTTATGAACTCATTTATTTTTGATTTATTAAATAAACCAATTTGCTCTAATTTTCATGTACTTTAATTTATTTTTAATTTATTGAATAAATCAATTTGCATTTCCATTTTAAGACTATCAATTAAGGCAGGGTCTGCAAGTGACGTCACTACTATCAGCAGCTAATTAATTTTTTCGTCGATTTCTAAATATGGAAAATGTGATTTCAACAACATTTTAATGTTTAGGAATTAGTTTTTTTTACCTATAGTGTTTTAAGCTCGAATAATGCAAGAGTTGAGGTCTGCTGCTGAAATGCTTAATCTTTCCGTCTATTTTTGTTTGTAGAAGGGAAAATAAAAGAGCAGCAAGTATGAGCGGAGCGCGCTTGACATCTCTATGATGTGAAGTGAACAGTAAACGCAACCGCAACTCGCGCCATCAACGACAATAATTTACGAGAAGCGTAAAAACAAACATTATAGCTTTGTTTTTTGTGTCGTACTAACTTGAACTGAGCTGTAATATTTCAGACTAGTTGTATTTCTTTCAAGAGTTTAGAACACTAGAGCTACTCGCCCCGGTGTAAGTCAACCCCGATTTGAAAGGAACAGCGCTAGCTTTCGTGCAACCGGTTTGAGTAGGGCTTGAGCCCTCAGGTGCAACCAATGAACTATAACCAAAAACTGGAATGCGAACACATATGGCGAACGTGAGGCCTAGTGCGGCTGCTGCGGAGGGGATACCTGTTTTTGTCGCACTCATTATGTTAAATGGCGAAAATTGCTTCCAACACGTATTCCAATTAATGAAACCTGTGAAGGGAAATATGACAAAACTTTCGAAAACGTCATATGTCAGCGAGCAACAGAAAAAAACAACATTCCCCCTTGTGGCATCTGTCTTTCATGGCTTCATTTTTTTGGCAGATATGGCAATAGTTGTATTCCTTTCACACCTAGGAGGAGCTCCGGAACAGCTCCGAGGCTTCACGCGCTTATTCCTTTCGAAAGGTGTTTGTTGCACCACGCATCTGTTCCCTGCAAATCGGGGGCTACTAAACACCATAGCGAGTAGCTCGATTGTTTCAAACTCTTGAAAGGAATACAACTATTGTGTGCGCATTCCAGTTTTTAGCTATAGTTCATTGGGTGCAACAAACACTTTTCGAAAGGAATAAGCGCGCTTCACCCCGGAACTCTTCCGCAGCTCTTCCTACTAGGTTGTGAAACGAATAAAACATTAGTTATATTCCTTTCAAGAGTATAGAACACTAGAGCTAGTCGCTCCGGTGTTAGTAGACCCCGATTTGAAAGGATCAGATGCGCTGGCTTTCATGCATTTAAATGGTTGAGTTCGGGCTTGAGCACTTCAGGTGCAACAAACATTTTCCGAAAGGAATAAGCGCGTACCGCCTCGGAGCTGTTCCGGAGCTCCTGTTAGGTGTGAAAGAAATACAACTTAAGCCTAGTACTCATAACAGCGAAATTCGCTCTTTTTTGACATGCTTCGACAATTTCACGTTTTAAGCCTAGTACTCATAACAGCGAAATTCGCTCTTTTTTGACATTGCTTCGACAATTTGATGTTTTATACGTGAATCAAACGTCAAATTGTTGAAGCAATGTCAAAAAGAGCGAATTTTGCGGTAATGAGTACTAGGCTTTATTATGGCAGAATAACCAGTAGTTGTATTCCTTTCAAGAGCTTGAAACACTCGAGCTATTCGTTCCGGTGTTCAGCCGCCCCCGATTTGCAGGGAACAGATGCATCGTACAGCAAAAACTTTTTGAAAGGAATAAGCGCGTGAAGTCCCGGAGCTGTTCCGGAGCTCCTCCTAGGTGTGAAAGGAATACAACTAATAACGTTAGTCAGTTCATTGACATAACACAATCGAACGCCCCAAAGCAGGAAGTGCTGCTCCGAACAACACAAAAAAACAAACCTATAGCTTCAATTACTCGAAATTTCTCGATTTATAAGATGTTAGAAAATTACCCCGCTTGAAGTCAAATTAGCCGCAAATCAGGTAATTACCCGCAGATTGTCAACACTGCCAAATATGTATATAAAGGCTGAGTTCGGCTTTGCACTCCACGGAGTGAAACCGTATGGGCATGGATATCGTGACGTCATACGCAGAGTGTGCTCTGAACAAGGTCGTAAGCCGAACGCAGATGGAAAAAAAATCCCGAAACCCTTGTCACAGTTGTCACTAGTCTCAAAAAAAAAATTTTTGTTTTGATTTTAAGTAAATTAGTAATAGACCTGAAATAAAAGTAGAAGAGAAATTTGGGGAAAAAAACAGAAACGCAAACCGAATTAATTATTTTTGACAATATTTTAGGCATTGAATTTTAGGTTATTTTCAAAAGTGACAGATAGTAACTAATTTCTTTGGTTTTCTATCCATCCATCCAGGAAAAAGACAGCGAGCTCAGGGTACGTGCTCGTTTGTAACCCGAACGCAAAAGAGATCAGCCTGAGTGTTAAAACGAACAGGATCTTATCGTTTCGAGCACGCTCAGAGCTTACAGAGTGTAAAGCCGAACTCAGCCAAAGAAACCATCGAGAAAGAAACTCATAATTAGTGAGAAGCTACTCTGGAGGCAATGAATAAGTAAGGTTGTTTGAGAGAGGTAGGTTGCCTGATAACGTCATCTGGGGTGCCTCAACATAATGTAAATTTCCATAAGGCACCCCAGATGCGTCATCAAGTTACTCATTACCAGTGATGTGCCTGTAGACAATGTCAACGTAAACAATTGATTGTCTACGCGTAGACAATTCGAATTGTTTACGTAAGCATTTGTCTACACATTGTCTACATGCGGCGTAGACAATAACTTACTTCAAAAAATTCGAAAAAAAATATCAAAAGCTACTATACTATCACTATCCCTTCGATATTAGCATTCACTGATTATAAAATATCAGGAAAACCAATAATAAAATAAAAATAATTTAAAAAAAGGAAAGTGTGAGGTTAGAATTAAACGTCATTTATATTATTTTACATTGTTGACACGTTGTCTACATTGTCTACATTATCTACACGTAAAGTAGACAATGAAAGTCTACGTGTAGACGCACATCCCTGCTCATTACCAGGCAACCTATAAACCTTTGGGAACCTTGGCCAAAAAGCGCATTACTTGAACGGTCGGAGTGCGTACCGAGTCACTCGGAGTACCCGAAAATGGACGTACCCCTTTTTATTTTCGGCCTCGCTTTTTCTGGTGGCAAATTATTTTTGGTTGGGGCAAGTGGCACCACTTGGATTTAAAAAACTGTTCTCCAAATGACTCCGATCGAACATATCCGGAGCGAGTTAAAAATACGGCTCTGGCTAGAAGAATGACTAAAAGTCTGTTCCAACTTGCAACACGATAAAAACCGTCCCATGAACGGTTTCAAAACTAATCCTGTATACGAATTTCAGATGCTACCTGCAAGTTCTAGGCAGAATCGTGTGGGTGCATTGTACGGTTTCCTGCTGAGTCTGAGTTGGAAACTTTACCAGCTTCAACCAAAAATGTTTAACCACTTTCTGTAACCTTGGTTAACGCGAAAAATCGCCCATCTGGTTGACAGTCGGCTTTCAACTGTCAGCTTCAAGAAAAAAATTAAACAACAAAATGGCGTGTTGATGCGGAAAGCAAAGGATGCCTATTTGTTTGTAATGAATTAAATTAGAAATATTTGAGCGTTTTTTTTTTAGTTGTAGTTTGAAATTAAATTAAAACAACGTTTTCCGCGCCGTAGCATTTCAATTTAGTGGTTTTGCCGTGCAGTTTCATTCATAAACTTTAGTTTTTCCCAATAGTGTCTGTGTCAATGCACTTTGTGTGTGAAAGTACTGCAATTTTTAAAAGGTAAGGATAAACATAAACATATTTATTTGTTTATTTCATTTAATTTCAATGAAAACTTCAAGCTAACAACGTCATGATTTGAATTAACTATTTGATTATTTTTTATGTTATGTTTACCTGTTTAGAAATATCCTTTTATTTATTTGTTTTCAAAGGGAGGTGTTACCTTACTGATTGGTCTTTGAAAATGTTTTAAGATCTCCATGAATTTTTTATAATCTTCATCTACAATCCCTAGATCATGATGTTTAATTCTACTGGGAGATATGGAACAGTTTCAAATTATATAATTATTGCCTCAAAAAACAAGTTTAAAATTTGTTGATTAATGTATTAATCATAAATATTCAATTCTTTTTGATCTTCATTTGGTTAATTCTTTCAGTGTTCTGTAGTCTGTACATGAGAATGTCAAAAATTAAAATATTATGAGAGAAAAACGGCAAAATCACTACTTCAAAAGTCCTATGATTTCTTAGCAATCGGTGTGAACTTCTTTGCAATCTTTGTGATTTCTGATGATTCTTCAACTTAATTGATTACTCGATTGATTAAGTACTTGTTTAGAAAGTTTATTTTTCAATGTCAAAATCGCAAAATTGCAGAATAAATTCAATGTTTCAAAAATATTAGGTGGAACTTTTGAGTTTTGCACGAGGTTTTGCATTAAAAGTGGACTATTCATTCAATATTAATTATTATGAAAATTTCCCAAAAGATTTTTCTGCAGACTCAATTTAGTTATTTACCTAAGTAAATACTATAAATTGAGGCATGAACTCGGGCATAAGTCTTATTGGAAACTTTTCATGAAATATAAAGCTTCTTAAGAAAAACTTTTTAGTTTTTTTGTAATGAGCTTAATAAAAATGTCTTTCTTTACTTATTTTAGTATTTTCTAGATTTGTAACAGCAGGCTTCAGGGTTTTTCTTTCATATTTCTATATACAGATCTTTTTAATATTCATTTAGTCACTCGTTTTGTCATATTGCTTTATTCAAATTGTTCCATTAATGCCAATTAGTTTGATTTGTCCCTAAAATGCAGGTATCTATCCAATTTTTTGTATTATCTTCCATTCCATCTTCTTTGGTCGGTGTTTTTTCATTTTCCCAAAAATTAGTCTAGGAATTCTAGTAATCCAGTATTCTTCAGAGAAATAGTATCAGAAAACGTTCGTGAGCAAAATTGAATTAAATGCGATGATAGTGTATTGCAAAGACCCCCTCAATAAAATCCAAAGAGTAAGTTCGAGGGTTTTTCACTTCATTCTCAAATTTCAAATCAATAAAATATTTTAATAAAAGTTATTGACTAACTAAGTAAGCAAGGAAAACCTAAATTGGTAGTTGCAGATAAAATTGAGAAGATATTCAAGAAGCCAGTCAAAAAATGTCCCATGAAAGCCCAGTGCTAACAATTTCCTTGAAAACATATTATGATTCGGTCTGTCGAAGACCTGAGCCCCTCCTCCAAGGCATCCAATAGGACCTGCTCAAATTCCAAGAAAGAACCCTGTACACTTCTTATGGGATTTCTTACTGCAGCCAAATTTAACCAAATTTTAGTATGTTACAGATCTGAGTACAGATCTCACCTTTCTGATCAATTACTACCATGGGCACAACTATCCTATGACTAGTTTTTGAGATACAGGTAGTTCAATGTTCAAGAAATTTACACATTTTATATGCATTTACATCTACCTGTCACCTAATAATATACTAGGGCTCGGAATTGTATTCGAATAATTCGAATATTCGACTATTCGACTATTCTAAATTCGACTTTTTTGTTAGTTAGCAAATTCGACTATTCGAATATTCGACTATTCGACTATTGGACTATTCGAATATTCGACTATTCGAATGTTCGACTATTCGAATATTCGATTATTCGAATATTTGATTATTCAAATATTCAACTATTCGAATATTCGACTATTCGAATATTCGACTATTCGAATATTCGACTATTCGAATATTCGACTATTTGAATATTGGACTATTTAACAATGCAATTACTCAATTTTTGATTTGAATATACAGGTATTCAATTTAAAATTTCAATTGTTTCAATATTTGAATTTTAGCCTGATGTGTTTGCGCTCCGTATTGACGCGTTTCATTACGCTCCGTAATTTGTGCGTTTTTCTCGAGTTTTAAAGTGAATAAGAAATAAAAAAGACGAACTGTCTATTTTTCTCGAGGAACTCGGAAATCCTCAGATTCTGCTTCTGACTGAGCACTGGCTTAATGTTGATGAGGATGTAATTTTACCTAACTATAGTGTTTTATCTAAATTTTCTAGGCAGAGATTTATTCACGGTGGCACTATGGTGTTGGCTCACACGCGGTTTTTGGAGTTGTACTCTATTGTAGGTGTGGATGGATTTAATGATATGTTGGTCGAAAAAGAATTTGAGTTTTCCTTGGTACGTTTACCCACACTGAATCTATTTCTGATCTGTTTGTACAGAGCGCCAAACTCTGATGTAAGCTTGTTCATATCTAAACTTGAAATTTTATTGTCTGCGCTCCCATGTAAAGCGAATATAATTTTGGCTGGCGATCTAAATATTGATTATTCTAACATCTCACATAGTAGCACTCTCATGATATCAAATCTACTTAGTTCATTTAACTTGTGTATGCATGTAAATAAACCAACTCGTGTAACCGGAAAGGGATCGACTCTCATTGACTATGTCTGTTCCAACTTATCTGACAGTCTATTTGTGAGTTGTGGGGTGATTAGTGCTGGCCTCTCGGATCATGAGGCTGTTTTATGTGAGTTTAATATAACATGTGGTCGCGCCAGGGCATCAAAGCGTCGGGGAAGAATGTATACTAAGCATAATTTTAATGTATTTTCGCGGCATTGCCAGGGAGTTGATTGGCAGAGTGTGGTTTGCTCTAAAGACCCCCTTGCATATTTTCATGATGTATTGACACTCAAATTTAATATCTCCTTTCCTATAAGAACATTTAAAAAAAGTAAAAGAAAACCGTGGATTACTAGGGGTGTGAAGGTATCGGCGCGAAATATGCGTTCCTTGCATGCAATGCGTAAATATTTATTGGATAGTATAGTTTTCATTAATTACTACAATAGATATAGAAAGATCTATAAACGTGTCATAAAAACGGCTAAACAACTGTACTACTTAAATCGCTTGGGACAATCACGGAACAAGCAGAAGGAAACTTGGAGCATTGTTAACGATCTCAGGGGGAAGAACAGAAAGCCTATAGAGTCGAATGTCACTTCAGATCAGTTCAACTCATTTTATGTGTCTGTGGCAGGTGATCTGGCACGTAATATTAGTCCTAAGAGGAGTGCTTTGGATTATGTGCAGAGCAGTGAGGTGAGCAACTCTTTTTATTTTCATCCAACAAATGCTGAAGAAATAAGACAGGGGCTCAGGAATATGAAAAACAAAAACTCTTCGGGATGGGATAGTGTGCCCTTGAAGGTCTTTCTTGCACTCCCAGAGATCTCTTTGGAGGCTTTGGCTGAAGCCATAAATGTGTCGTTTGTTGCCGGGAGGTTTCCCTCGTGTCTCAAGATCGCCAGAGTGATTCCTCTTTTTAAGGGAGGTGACCCAAATGCTCCAGTTAATTTTAGGCCTATTTCTTTGCTCCCAACACTCTCGAAAATTGTGGAAAGAATTGTGAAAAAGCAAATGATAAGTTTTTTAGAAGCCCATAACATCATAAATCAGTCACAATTTGGTTTTCAGGCTAAAAAATCCACAAATGATGCCATCTTTTCTCTGATGCAGGAACTATACATTCAACTCAATTATGGAGAGATTGCTGCAGCGGTATTCTGCGATGTAACCAAAGCTTTCGATTGTGTTGACCATGGAGTACTGCTTGGCAAGCTCGAAGTTTTTGGTTTTAGGGGAGTTGTCTTGGATTCGATTGGGTCGTATTTGTCAGATCGTCATCAGTCTGTCATTTTCGATAATAGCACTTCATCAAGTTTAGCCATAACTTCTGGAGTACCACAGGGATCCGTCCTCGGGCCTTTGTTATTCCTAATATATATAAACGATTTGGCAACTTTGGAAATATCTGGTTCCTTTACCATGTTTGCTGATGATGCTACGATCTTGTGGCACTCAAGAGACCCGAATGAATTGGCAAATTATGTAAGTGAGAATCTGGGTAAAATAAAAGATTGGTGCGATTCAAATTTCCTGACTCTGAATGTCTCCAAGACAAATGTTTTATGCTTTAAGTGTCACTTAGAGGGGGTGCTGTTGAATAGGGAATCCATAGGCAATGTCACACAGAATAAATTTTTGGGTCTCTTGGTTGATGAGCAGCTGAAGTTCAATGAACACATTTTGCAACTGTCGAGGAAGCTTTCTGGGGGTTGTTATGCCCTGAGGGTCATAGCGTCGGAGGTTAACTTATCGGCAGCAAGGGAAGCATATTTCGCTCTGATAGACTCACAATTGCGGTATGGTATATGCTTTTGGGGAGCTTGTTCTGGATATTTATTTAGTACAATTTTTTTACTACAAAAAAGAGCACTGCGTTTTATGCTAAAGTTAAAAAGAAGAGATTCTTGTAGGCCCTTTTTTATTAGCCATAAAATCCTAACTTTGACCAGCGTGTTTATCCATGAAACAGCCTGTTTGATTCATAGGAAGTTTAAAAGGGAAATTCAGGCCACTTCAGCTTATACTGTGAGAAATACCCACACCACATCACTTCCGATACCTACTTCCACCTTAACTAAAAAGTCCATAATTTATAATGGTAGGAAAATATTTAATCATCTACCAAAAAGCATAAGAAAAATAGAAGATGAAAGAAAATTTAAAAGAGAAGTGAAAAAATTACTTTTGAACAAAGCTTATTATTCAGAAATCGAATATTTTGACGACTTATTTTAGACTGTGATTTTTTATACATTTATTTTATTTTATTTAAGACCCGCTTTAATTTATGTTTTGACCTCCTGTGTAATTTTAGTATCGTCGTTTTATTATGTATTCTTTGTATTGTCGACTTATCGGTGTTTTTAATATTGTTTTACAAGTCAGCATTATATTATGTTTTAGGTATTTTTTTTTTTAGTTTTTAATTCTGCTTTGTCAATGAGATGTTTTAATCTTTTTTTTTATGACAATAAAGCTGTTTTTGAATTTGAATTTGAATTTGAATTTGAATGATACAATATTCGACATATTTTGGGTGAAAATCAGGTTTCAATAAATACAATGCATTTTTGTTCGTAATGTAAATTTGACCCTCTGTAAATTTGCCATTTAAAAAACATCTAAATTATTTTAGTTTTTCTGACTGCATAAAAAATCAAAAATTCGCTTCGTCGTAGAACGTTCTTTTGCGGGAAGTAGAAACTTTTATCAAGAATGATTGTTAGTCGAAAAACGTCATTTTTAAAGTCCCATTTTGTTCTCTTAATTAGGCCCTCTATCAATATTTGACTATTGGAATATTAGACTATTCGAATATTCGACTTTTTGACTACATATTCGAATATTCGACTATCCGAATATTCGACTATTCGAATATTCGACTATCCGAATATTCGACTATTCGAATATTCGACTATTCGAATTATTCAGCTATTCGAATAAAATACCAAACGACTATTCGAATACTTGAATTTTAAAAATTCCGAGCACTATAATATACCAGGATGCACAGGTATCCTCACGCTTAGGTGACAGGTAGATGTAAATGCATATAAAATATGTACGTTTTCGTTCTAGTACTGAGGTAACTACCTTATGATTTAGATTTTGGAAAACTTTGAAAGGTCATAACTTTTTTTCTATCAAAGATAGAGAGCTGACATTTTCAGCGATTCTTATCCCAATAGAGGACAACAATCTCAGAAAATTGGATTCATAAGTTCCAGAAATAAAAATCGTGTTAAGCAATTTGGGGTGATTTATCAATTTTTCAATTTTCTTTGAGTGCCTTTTTTTCATAGATTCCGGCTCCAAATCTCAAAATAATTTAGTCTCGAATTTAGTATATGGAGTTTGGGGGATCCCACAGGACCATTAGGACACAAAATCTCAACAAGTTCTCCGAAATCTAAATCATAAGGTAGTTACCTCAGTACACAATGACAAACACACGTTGATAAATAGTGTAGTTTCTTTTGGAGTCCAATATATATATATATATATATATATATATATATATATATATATATATATATATATATATATATATATATATATATATATATAATAGATCTTTATTGAACGAATACAGTTCAAAAGGCCATTGACCGAGGTCCTTCAGCCTATGAGTTTACAAAAATCATGGATATAAAATATCTTTGTTCACAATATTAGGTATTTGTTACAAAAAAAAAAAAAAAATAATATATGAAAAACGACACAATAATACTTATAGCAAATATACCCGCAAATATGGTTAGTTAGTTTTCGGATAGTTTTTCCCATATTGTTCTCTCAGGGTGTTGGTATCTTGCTCTTTCTGGTAGTCTTCTGATGGAGTATGGTTCAATTTTGGCTATATTGTCTGGCTTCTGCTTGAACTTTTGATTGAGTTGACTAATGCGTTGCTGAATTGGAAGTACGTGTGTTGTCAGATACAGAAGCTGGTTAGGCGGATTGTGCAGTGGATTGTTGGGATGTCTTAGTTTTGTGACAGCTCGAAGAGAAGATGTTTCTGCAACCTGTAAATTCTTCCATGCCGATGTTTTGAGGTTTTGGAAGATTACATGTCCGTATTCCATAAGTGGGCGACAAATCATTTTGTAGATTCTACATTTTGTATGCAATTTTATTCCGTCATTCTTCCATGATAAGCATTTAAAGTGCCTGGCTCTGGCTATAGTCTTTCTCTTGGTTTCTTGTGTATGTTTATTGAAATTAATTTTGTTGTCTAAACGGATTCCTAAATATTTAATGGATTGCTGTGGATGTAATTGGTGGTTGAATAATTGTATATATGGTGAGTTGTAGTTGGGAGTGTGGTTGAAAAGAATAAAATGAGATTTCATCGGGTTGGGTTGCAGTCGCCACTTGCAAAACCATTGCATCGTTGAGTTGCATAGATCTTGTAACTTGCTTGTGGTTGTTCTAATAGAGTTGCCATGAGCAATAAGTGCAGTGTCATCTGCATATTGTAATATGTAGTTGTCCATGTTAAAATGTTGTGTGTTTTGATCATATATGTCTGCACAGTAAATAGAGCCTTGTGGGAGTCCTTGTTCTGGAATAAATTCATAAGATGTTTTATCTGCGATTTTAACTTTCAATTTCCTGTCCTTCAACAGACTGGCCACCGACATGAGTAGAAACAGGGGGCAGTTACATTGGTTGAGTTTGAACAATAAACCCCTGAGCCATACGCTATCAAAGGCCTTGTGGATGTCTAGGAAAATGGCGGCTGTTTTTCTTCCATTTAATCTTGTCGTTTCAATATTATTGGTTAATATAGTTAGGGGGTGTATTGTAGAACATTTGTTTCTGAAGCCGAATTGATATGGGGGAATCCTGTTTCCAATCTCTTGTTCAAGCTTGTTTTTGATTATTTTTTCAATATTTTTTCCTAATACAGGCAGTAATGTTATTGGCCGATAATTGGCTGTTCTTGAGTGGTCTAGATTTGGCTTTGGTATAGTTATCACTGTTCCTGTCTTCCATTCTGTCGGAATAAAAGCGTATTGCAAACAAAAGGAGTACATTTTTATGATATAGCTGTGGATGTTGCTGTTCAATTTTCTTAATAGTTTTCTTGTGATCATATCATGTCCGGGTGTTGTATTTTTTCCTTGGTGAAGTACATTATAATACTCGTCTTCTTCTATTGTATATTCCTGAGCGTTGTTTGATTTAAAATTAATGTTGATGTTATTATCATACCAGTTATTGATGTAATTATAATGGTTTTGATCAAAGTTGGGATGCTGACTTTCTGTATACGTTTTTTCCATGTGTTGTGTGAATATAAGTGCTTTTTCTTCCGGGGAGTCGTAGGGGATTCCGTTTTCCATAATAGTTCTATTATTTAGCTGCGTATTCTTATACTTTGCTAATTTTTTAATCTCTGACCAGTAATTTCTCCCTTGTTGCTTATCTATATCTTCACAGGTAGTTATCCATTTATGTTCCTTATATTGCTGAATTAATTTTTGGATGTTCTTGTTATAATTGTTAATTTCTGTTTTTAGTTCCACATTTCCTGATTGCCTATATTCTCGGTATAGACGGCGTTTTCTTTTAATGAGGGTGATAATATAAGGTGGAAGTTCCTGAGTGTAGTATTTGATTTTCCTAACAGGTGTATTATCAGTTATTGCTTTAGTTAATTTTTTATTGAATTTGGCTATATTTTCGTTGTTCGAGTCCAATTTTGCTAGTAATATGTTTTCATAGAAGAATGTTTCGGTTAGGAAAACGATGTCATAATTTTCTACCAAACTATCGCACATTAAATCCTGGGTTAATTCCTTTAATTTTGTCTCCCCTGACATTTTGATAATAATGGAATGTATCGAGGAATGTATTTTCAGTTTTTTGATGGCAGAAATCACAGCTATTTACTGTTTGATAGAATTGATAGTTTGCACCTACCTTAGAGGCCTTTATTCTATTATCATTTTCAAGTTCTTTGACAATAACATCAGTTTCAGGTGCTTGTAGTTTGTGGTAATCAAATCAAATCGCTGACTCAGCTGAGATTCTGCCCAAGTAGAGCCATTTTCTAGTATAAAAAGGTACACTTTTTGTCTCACTGGAAAGATTAGTACCCATAAGCAGATTAGGTTTGTTTATATTTTGCAAAAACTGGTCAGATTCATTGGCATGGGCTGAGGTAAGTTGAGTTGCAAGTTCTTTGTGCCGGTTCGCGTAAAATGTGTTATTAATGGCATTACTTACAAAACTTGGAGTTTTTTTTTTGTGTGTTTTGTTTACATTTTTATTATTTTATCTCACATTACCAGCTGATTGAATCAGTTGAACCGGCCTGCCTTGATTTGACTGGCCACAGTAGTTTTGCTGTGATTGACACTTGCTAAAACAGTTGATTGCGGCTGCTGCTGTGTTGTCAAGAAAACTCTGTGGCTCAGTTCAGTTTTACAACGCCGCTGCCAGCATGGTTTTTTTTTTCGTTTGTCAAGTATTCGTGTGAATATTGTTTATTGAGCAAAAGAATTTCTACAAAGTTATCTCACTAGTGGATGAAACGTCCCCAGGTGATGTGGGAGACATCAGCTATCAAAAAACAGCCCCAAATTCGGTGCTGATAACAGAAGTATAAAAACTGAATCATTCATCTAGCTGGTAAACACTACAGTGTTGCCGGTGGAGAGTTGAAAATTTCCCAAGGATTGTGTGAAATTTGCAAAGATAATTTTCTCGTTAATTATAAGAGTATCACGTGTGCTTTTTGTGATGCGGTCTATCATAATATTTGTGTAAAGCTGAAGGATATTGTATCCAAGTGCATAAAAATAATCTGAAAATCCTGCCCAAAATAAAAGATTTGGACCTGATAAAGAATATGAAGTCATTTGAAAATAGATCTGATAGATGCCCCCAAACAGCACCTACATCAAATAAAAAAAAGAGTGAGGAAAAGAGTTATCCCTTGAGTTATGCAAATGCTCTTACAAAATCAAAAGAGAGTATAATTATTGTGAAACCAAGTGAAAAAAATGTAACTGGAGAGGATAGTACAAATATAAAGGAAGTTATTAAACAAAAAATAAATCCAGATGGACTTGGAGTTGATATTAACAGCAAGAAAAATAACAGAGACGAAGCTGTCTTGAGAAAAGTCTGTGATGGAGAGGAAGCTCAAAGGTTGCAGAAAGATATAGAAAGGGAAATGGGCAAAAGTGTTAACACAAAGATTCCCGAAAAGAAGAATCCCTGCATAAAAATCGTTGGATTGGAAAAAAATTATGAGGAGAAGGAGTTGATAGACATACTGAAAAGCCAAAATAACACTGTAATCACAGCAGAAAGCCATCTCACAGTAAAAGTAACCAAGAAGATGGTCGAAAATTATCTATCTATAATTGAATGTGATCCAGACACTTTCCAGAAAATTATGCTGAAATCAGGCAGTAGACTTTATATTGGTTGCAGAGCTTGCAAAGTCTTTGAATACATTAGCGTCCTTCGATGCTATAATTGCTGTCAATATGGGCATACCGCTGCAGACTGCAAAAGTGAAAAGATGTGTGGAAAGTGCAACAGTACATTTCATGAGCATAGAGACTGCGAAAAGAAAATGGAATGCACAAATTGTTGCATGTCAAATAACGATTTCAATAGCAAGCATGATATAAACCACTCATCCTTCGATTTTATGTGTCCTGTCTACATAAGCGTGACAAATAAGGCAAAAGCAAATATTTATTATCAACAGTAGATTTTTTTTACATATTTTTTAGACGTTGACTTTTAATTTTTGACTCGGTCTATTAGGTGTATAGATTGAGATGTATTTCCAATTGTTTCTCCATTTTCATATTCATTTTCATCATCAGGGTTGTTAAGTTTAAAACACCTGAGTGTGTTTTAAATAGATTTGTTTTAAACTGTTTAAAACATGTTTTAAACAGTGTTTTTTAGAGGTTTAAAAGAGTAGGTAGTTCTTTGGCATATTCACAGTTATGTATTTATTTTCATATAGATATGTATTTGAAATCTTCAGAACTCTAAGCAAAAAAACAGTTTCACGAAATCACTGTCAATTTGAAAGGTTGTTTGATTGAGGTTTAATTTAAATATAATTTGGGTTTAATTTAGGATTAGGGTTAAATCTCGGGTTAAATAGATGGTGGCGGGGTTTTTTATCGATTATTCATTTTGTTACTTTCTTTGTTGTTTTTCTTCTTGAAAAGGACGGAGAAAGTTGTGAATTATTTGTGTTCACAAACCATCTAGTCTAACATAAATTATTGGTATGGGGTAGGTATTAGTGATGTTTTTTTTTTTGAATTTCTGATTCTCTTTAATTGTATAACATATCCCTAACATTAAATAAAAATATTGGGTATATCTAGAGCACCTACAGATGTTTATAACATCTAAGTGCTACAAAATAAATCTTGTTTAACATAAATTTAATTAGGAGTTAATTGTAGAAACTTGTGAATCAAACCTTTTATGATCAATAAATGAAAATGAAATGAAATAAGCTTAGCTTTGATAATCAGATGTTGTGTCCGAGGTTGTGTCTTTAAACAATAAAGCATATTTTGATTTGATTTGGCTACACCTCTTAAACACAGATAGCTAATTGTTTTTTTTTTTTCCAAGGGGTAAACCACCCCCCTCCCCCCCAGAATTTGTGCAAACAATTCCTCAAAGGGGAATTTTTTACGCAAAATTCTTGCAAATTCCTTCAGATAACCCACCACAAATTCCTCTAAATAGCCCACAGATTCCTCCAAATTCGCTGCGAATTCCTCCAGACTTCTCCAATTGCTCGTGATAAGAAGTTTATTTATTTTTTAATTTCGCCCAAGAGCAGTTTATCAAGTAGGATCGAGGGTCAGATCAAATGCAAGGTTACGTTATTTAACTTTAGAGCTAATGCTAATGATTGGTTTTCGGTAATTCAGAATGCAGGGGTTTAAACTAACCTAAACCTGCATTTGATATTATTACCTAATTGATAAAAAAAAACATTTTAGGAAATTAAAACAAATATAGGTAATACCAAGTTTAATACACATATAGCTACTTTTTAAACAACTTAGGTATGTATATTGTTTCACAATATTGGGGGTATATTGTTTCTTTTTATTTTTAATGGGCAGTTTCCTAAACAGGACCATAAAAAATAAATTTAATCTGAACCTTGGCATAGTCAGGCTGAGTAGGCCATACAAATGTGTCTAATTCCTTTTCCAAAAATTTGTAAGGTAAATCCTTTTTTTAACGTTCAGCCTTTTTTCTATAGGTATATGGAGTTAGGATATACCTATATTACATTACATCAACTTCAATAATTGAAGCTGAACTATTCGAGTAGCTTGAAATTCACTCAGGGTAATTTTTAAGGAGATTTGGTATCGCTTCTGAAATTATTATCAATGCGCTTTTAACACATTGCATGCCACACGTGTATATTGAGAAAATATCCCATGAGGCCACACATGTTTTTTTCTTAATTTTTATTGAAAAGTGGCTGAAATGATAGATTATATTGTTTATAGTATTTTTTTGTTTGTTTTTAGCTTTCCCCACCATTTTTTCTAAGTCACTCATATATGACTGACGTGGCCCCCCAGGTTATTTTCATGGACTTGGACATGGAGGGAGCCACGTCAGTCAAATATGCCCGACGATTTTTTTCTATTTTTTTTATATACCTATCTATCTAAATAGATTCGCATATGAATGTTTTAGTTTACTATTTTAGAATTTTTTTTTTGGCTTATAACTAAGAAATAAATATTTTTCGTTGCATAATACTAAAATTTTAAACCTACAAGAAGGCGCTGTTCTTAGAGCAAAAGAGCAATATTATTTTTATTATTCAATTCACAAGATTTACATTGACGTCTTTCTATAACAAAATTTGTGTAACTGCGACTGCTGGCACAAATTTAGTCTAGTTAAAAATATTAACTATTTCTCAATCGCTCGAATAAAAAGATAGGTATAAGGTATAATGCAATGTTTGATTTAAAACCCTAAAAAAAATAGTAAATAACCAAATTTGCACAAATCAAGTAGGTATATCAATATGATCCACACAGGCCACTCTTCAAAATCCCATAAGGAAATATATGTATCGTCGGGCAAGTTGTGGTATGCTAAAGTGTGCATCAAGCATATACAGGGTGACAATTTGAAAAGTAGCAATCGGAAATAAATCTTAAACAAAAATACTATCAGGAAGTTCTCAAATACGTTTCGGGGGTTTGGAGGGGGAACCAAAATGAGGCACTTTTTGATTCACCCCGCCTCACCTGTTAGCGGGAAGCTACCCTAACTTATTTTTCCTCAAATACGAACCTACCTCGTTGGATAGCTCGTTGCTTTCCTTTATAGTCTTATAGCAAAATCTTAAATTGTGCGATTAGTTTTTGACATATCGGTGGACGGTGTTTGAAAATAAGCATATTTTTTATTCCTCTTTAGAGGCGTGACCGAGGGCGCGACCATTTCATTTCAGCTACAATATAGAACATGATCACTTGACTCTTCGTCTGGAAAACACAAAAACAATTTTGCCTGGCAAAGTTGAAGAGCATTCAGTTATTCTATTAAAGCCCCATTAGGCTGAATTCACTTGAAACCACGTTGTGCAGCTGACACCCAACAGCAAATCATAATTCAACCATTTCTCGCCGGTATTCGGTAGTGCCCCACTGCTACACTTACCTTTAATACTATAATTGTGTAACAAATGAGATCCTAACCTATTATGACGTACGGCTTCTCCGGGGGACACCAGTTACCAAAAAGAAATAAGTTATGCCCGACGCGGCATGCAATGTGTTAAATGTCATCCTATCTTCTGAAACAATGTCAGAACTAACTAATAAATGTTCACTTTTATTATGTTTTTCAATTAGCATATTAAAATGGGTACTACTGAAATTATTACATTCTCCAATTGCCAATAATTTTTTTCTCAGTAGGCGATTTCCTAATTTGGCCGCAATATGAATGTAGCATTCAAATCCATTCAAGTCTAAGTGGATCCAATTCCAAAAGGTTTTTCTTTGGCAGTTATTGAATTTTTTGGACATATTCTTCATTTAGATGAAAATTGAACTCATTATTCTTTTAAATTTTTTTAATTTGGTCCTGTAAATCATGAGGTAAAATTTTGGGAGAGTTTCTTTAACAAAAATGAATGTCCAACGTCCAACACAAAACTAGAATATACCTATATTTTTTTTATTTTCAATTAGTGTTTCTTTTAATGAGAATGTGAACCTCAGTGACGTCATGACGTAATTACCCTACAATTTCCTTTAAATTCCTCACAAATTCCGCATAAAATCCTCTGAATTCCCTATAAATTCCTCCAAATTCTCTATAAATTCCCCACAAATTCCTCTTAGTACATTATATCACAGACCTCCATGACTAAATGAACGAAGAATAATTTAAATTAGAACAGATGTATCTACAATTAGCGCCTGATGAAGCCAAGCCAACTAAAACAAATCATAACTTCTCAGACAATGATTCAGCAGAATCTAAAGCAAGTAAATTCGATCTATCACGATTGTTAAAGAAATCATTCAATGAATAAAATACTTTCTCTGTCAGGTATGACTTTATAATTTCTTTGGCCAAATTTCGGACACTCTCTAGGAAACTCTGGTCGATTTTAACAATAGTGTAATGCATTTTTCAGGAATATAGCCAAAGTTGAATTTTTGTGTTTTTGACTTATTTCTAGTCATAATTGTGATTGATCGTTTCACTTTGATAAAAAAATAGTCCTTTATGCTATATGGCTCCATATCAATTAGGTAACCTGTTTTTTTTTTTTTTTTTTTAATTTTCTAGTTTTTCAGCAATTTTAAGTCATAAGGCAAATTATTAAAATATTTCATAGTATGGGGTTTTTTCAGGTAACGTTAGCCTGTGTATGGGGTAGTCTACATTCACTCCTACTGTATCTGACATGTACCCGGAATTCCAACAGGTAAGTACTTTTGTTTTTGAAAAAAGATATTTAACGTTCATACAATACCTATAATGGCCACAATATGCTGCAAATCCCCTATAGCTTTTCCTAAATCCCATTCCGTTAATTATCCTCAATACCCTGTATTGAATCACATATTTTTATCAGGCTATTAGCATCTCAAAAAATTAGGCCCATAATTAAATATTGATTTTCCTAAGGATACAAAAAACGGAGGGTTGCAGTATTTAGACTTATAGAGATAGGTATTCAAGGTTTAACATGAATAAATCAATTATTTATCATAAGGTACCTATTCCTTATTTATCTTATTCCGAGTCTTATTTCTTAAATTTATTGTTTAGGTACCTATTATCATATAGCCAATAATTACAAATAACATATCCTTATATTAGGTTCAATGATCTATAAAATACTTGCATATCCTAATTAGGCAAACACAAACAAACAAACAATTTCCTCGGAAATACCTGCATACATAAATCGTTTATTATATGATTTGTTTTTAGTCAATTAGCATCCTTTTCACTTGGCTTGTCTCTCTTTGTTTTTTCAAACTTAATTATCACTTTCAAGAAGCTGTAAGTACTCCTGATATATAGTTTGATTAATAAATCAATGCTTCTAATGTCTTGGAAGAAAATCAATTTTTTCTAATTGCTCATCCATCCTATTAAGCTGAGCGTTAAGCATATTATGTTCTTTTACTGGTGCAATTCATTATTATTTAAGTTTAACTAGAGGTTCTGATCTTAAAGAAAAAATTGGCACCTTTTTTGTTAACAAATGGGACAGGGGACTCTGGTTTAATTCTTGAATAGAACTGTGGACTTGTTTTTCAATGTTAAAACAATGAAGTTACTATTTTAGTTAAACAAAAGTTCACTTATCGCTTTTTAGTTAACTTTATACAATTCTATTTAATTAAACTGACTCTCTCCCTCACTTACATACTGCGCGCTTTATGTTATAGGAAAACATTTCTAGAATCACCTGTTATCTAGATAACCCAATTTAAATACAAGAATCAATTTTGGAATTTGTTCACCAGCTTCTTGTTTCCCTTTCCCATACTTATAATTTAGTCATCCAGGAATTCCTGTCACCTTTGTTTTCAATTTAGGACAATAATTGAAAAATCTAATTACTTAGTTATTCAGATATGTAGGTAGGTATTCAGAAAAATGCATTTTATTGTTGAGTTGGGAAATAAAACTCCTTTAGTAATTTTCTGCTGTAAGTTGTGTTTATTGCTCTATTTTATTGTTATTAAACAATTTAACGATCCTCCTATAACAAAGTTATACAATTTAAACCTCTAACTTCAATGGGCTGGTCCTGCATCCACCACCCTTCTTCATAGAGTCAAGTGAAAAACTGCTGCGGACGTTTAAATTGTAATAAATATAGTTTAAAAAAACTAAAGAACACGCTTTTATGGTAAATTGAACTAAAAAGTGAAAAATAATTTTTAATATAAACAGAAAATATTAATGAACAAAAAATATTAGAATTATTGTGAAAAAAGCGTGGGGTGCTTTGTTCCACATTTCTCGTACATTGAGCACCCCACGCTTTTTTCACAATAATTCTAATATTTTTTGTTCATTAATATTTTCTGTTTGTATTAAAAATTATTTTTCACTTTTTAGTTCAATTTACTATAAAAGCGTGTTCTTTAGTTTTTTTTAACTATATTTATTTTTTACTTTTTAGTGAAGCGTGTTAATTCCAGGCCTTTTCCAGACGTTTCTAGGGGCGAGTTCAGAAATAACACACCGGGTGTGAGTGCGATTTTATGGGTGTGACTGAAATGACAATTCTTAGGCGACAACTTTCGTATGAATTTCTGAACGCTTGGTGTGACCAATCGAACATCTCCTCAAAAAATTCACCAAATCTATTAGGATTACTTTTTTTGTTGTTCCTTTTTGTAATTTTAAGGAAAAATTTTAATTCTTATTTGTGTTTTGTTTATATTTGGTGGGATTATTGAGATTATGGGAGGAGTGGTTGACATTGTTGACATAGAGACACAATCACATCGCAGCCACACCAAAAAATTATGGTGTGACCGGTGCGACACCTGGAACGCGCTTGAAGTACTTTCTGAACGGCACAGAGTGCGCGCACTCGGTGTGCCTATAGCAATTATGAACGGCTAGTGCGTCGAACCGGTGTCACACTCTCACTGAGTGTGTCATTCCTGAACTCCCCCAGAGATTTCCAGACATTATTTAGAGCTTTCCAGAGTTTTCCAGATTGTATCCAGATTTATCCAGACTTGTACAGACTGATCCGGATTCTGGAAAATGATCCCTATCAGGTCTTTTGGGACCTTTTCCAGAATTTTTCCGACCCTTTCAAGAAATTTCCAGGCATTTTCCAGTCGTTTCCAGACATTATCCAGACTTATCCAGAGCTTTTCAGAGTTTCCAGACTTCATCCAGATTTATACAGACTTTATCCAGACTGATCCGGATTCTGGAAAATGCTCCCTAGGTGTTTTGGGACCTTTTCCAGAATTTTTCCGACCCTTTCCAGAAATTTTCAAGTCTTTTCCAGACAATATCCAGACTTATCCAGAGTTTTACAGACTTTATCCAGATTTATCCAGACCTTATCCAGACTTTTACAGACTGATCCGGACTCTTGAAAATGATCCCCAGGTCTTTTGGGACCTTTGGCAGAATTTTTCCGACCTTTTCCAGAAATTTCCAGGCTCTTTCCAGACGTTTCCAGACTTTTCCAGACATTTTCCAGACTTTTTCAGACATTTTCCAGACTTTTCCAGGCTCTATCCAGACTTGTACAGACTGCTCCAGACCTTATCCAGTTCTTTCCTGACCTCTCTGGACTTCTTCAAACACTTGCCCGACTTGTTCCAGCTCACTTGGCTTGTTTCAGGTTCTTGTTCATACACTTCCCAAGAGTCCAAAAGTTCGCACGCATTCCTATGTGCCCCTATAAGCCACTTGCTTTTAGTCCAAAGGAGAGTTACTTACAAACATAAATACATACAAACATACAGGTGAAGCTAATATAAGCGTGTTAAAAAGAACCAGGCTTTTATGGTAAAACTAACCCCCAATAAACTTTAATGTTTAAAAACATTATTAATTGAAATTTCATAAAAAAGGCGGCTCAGTTTATCTCTTTGAAGTCACGTGGGAATCCATAGGCGTCTGAATACTATTATCATGACAAATGAAAACAAAATTGGTTAATAAAGAATAAACATACTCCAGATATTTCTATAAAACGAACGCCATTGCCCCGAAATTCTAGCTGATTTACCTCTAGAATACAGTGGAGTTAATACGTTAAATAAATGGGCAAAATTCATATAGTAAGTAATCCTTAAAATTCCGTTTTAAACTATTGAAATAAATCAAATATAAATATTTGAATGGGACTATTATTCCATTATTAAAAATTCAAATTTGAAATTGATTTTTATTCAATTATCTGTGTAAATTTATACTTTTGTCCACTTCTAAAGAGAATATCTCACACTGTTAACAAGAGCGGCTTAGCTTTGTCGGAAAGTGACAAAGCCTAGCGGCATCGCCAACGATTTTCAACTTTTTTTGCTGGCGTGCGGTGTCTTTGTTATAGTGTACCAGGACTAGGCATAAAAATATAAAAATTATTTTATATTATTATAAGGGGTATTTTTCTAATTTTGAGTAGTCACCATAGAGATGCGATTTTCAATTGATAATGGTTATACTTTACTTTTATAGTTATTTTAATGTTCCCAGAAATTTGTCTTAATCCAATAAACTATCAGCGATTTCTAGCAATAAAACATTTTCTTGAGGTAAAATCCAATCATTCTTTTCAAGGTCTATCACCCCATTCCATCAACTCTATAACCTTTGTTGCCGATTTTCCGGGATTTATTCATAGTCACGGCCGCCCACTCAGCCACCCTCCGACCGAGCAACTCTCACCCTTATTTCTCGAAACCCCACCGCATTTATTTTATTGGTATCATTAATTATTAAAACAACGAATGCCACCGGTGTTGTGTGTTCACCTCTAGAGATGAGTCATCAAATTTGTAGCTAGAAGAAGCCTGTAAAAGTATAAGCGCAACCCTCCAGGTTTTAGGGGGGTCAAGTTTTTTTACGATACCGAGAGGGTCGATGGGCATACATACATATACATACATAGCAGCGTGAAATTCTGAAGAGCCATTCGAAAAACAATAGTCACTTCAAAAGCTTCGGTGCCGCGTTTTTTTGCTTTCGACAGCGCGAATCCAGAAAACTTATCTAGCACGCAAAAGTTGAAGTAAGAGTCTTTTCACCGATACTCTGAAGTGGGCGTGATCCAGAAAGGAATTTGTGTCATATCCTAGCTCTATAAACGTCAGCGGACTTCTGGTAGGTATTTCTGATAAAATATTTGTTTGTTGATAGTTCGAGTGTTAGCGCTTTGTCACATTGGTACTTTTTTTATGGTAAGTCTTCACACATAAAAATGAAGTTAACATAAATTATGCTTGAAAATTTATTATTTATAAGAGACTAGTATTTCAAAATGAAAGAAATTTATGATATATGCTTTTACACCTTGGAAAAAGTATCATATCCGTAATTTGTTAGGTATAAAGCTACCATTCTTTGAATTTATTTAACAATGAGTGTAGTTGAATTGCTTCATAAATGTCTTTTAGCACATTTCATATTAGTGCTTTTAACTGCTAAATTATTGAGATTATTATCGTGTGTAGTGTCAAATTATTTTAATTTTTCCCATTCTTAAATTTTTCTGTTCTAATGGAACTTTAGACGTTCAGCAAACTATAAGGCAACTTTTCTGGCATAAGGTTATGGGAACGTACCATTGATTAGGTCAGTTCCCAGGTAATTTTCTTTCGATGCGCAATGATAAGGGTTAATTCGGATTTAAAAATAAGTTCCAGTATCAACTCCATCACAGAGTTTGTATTTTCACATATCCTGGTGATTTTCATATGAAATTGCTCT